CGGCTATGCTTTCAATCCATAAAATACAGTTTGTTATGCACATATTATTGTACCATACCAGGGATATTGATGACGTGAATAGAGTAATTTCCATGAATTTCAAGTTGTCCATCACATTTTCAATGCAATGCCAGTAGTATTGACCATGGAAACTGTTAGGGGGAGGGCACGGAAGGGGCTTCAATGGGTTCGTGTGACCCCAATTGGACAGACAGCTTCGATTACTCACCACATTTTTTTTTACAATAACCCAGCAATTTCAATCTCACAGACTGATACAATAAACTTACAAGTTAAAACCATCAGGCTATGCAGATTTTATCATAAGCAGAAGGGGTACGCGTCTGTGGCCGGTGGACAGAGCCACAGAATCGACACGCGCCCACGTGCACCGTGGTGTGGTTCTCACGTTCGCATTTGCAGTTCGCGAACGCGTTCGGCGGTGTGACCTCGCAGTGGGGTCGACTTTCTGCAGTCTGACGAGGGACTTAGCGATGGCGAGAGGCGACATTAGACGTGACAGCCGTCACTAAGGCATTGTCACTCCCTTTACGTAGGCTTCTCGGAGTTGCAATTGCGTCGTTCGCTGCTGTCATTTAGCTAGAGTATCGGATATCTGCTTCCAACCAGAGTATGCTATGCCACTAGACCAGTTTCAGGACTAGTTCTGTCGGGATCCGGCATCTAGACTAGACGACGCAGGCCAGCAACTCTCAAACATGCTCTCGTTGTGGACGCTAGCGGCGAACAGATGCCCAAGGATCGTCCTTGTCGTGTGGAATATGCTATGTGAGTTTATCGGACGTTCCAACCCTACCTAGGTCAGGAAATTAGCTTTGAAACTAGGACTTAACGATGTAAGTCCAACCTTAACAATGACCTGAGACTATGATGTTCATGTATACCCGTGCGCTGTCTGGCAGAGCATGTCAACGGCGCGAAGAGGTATCACAGCTGCCTTGCTTGCATCGCTTCATGGTAATGCTTTGGTGAATATGCATATGATTCCTGCTTTGGGATCAGAATCACTTGAAGGATAGCAAAGCGCTTGTTCCTCAATCCTCCGACCTTCAGATTAGGAGCTGTTCCCCGACTTGGCGGCATAGCCCGAGATCATACTGCCTGTTGTGATAGATATCGCCAGTCTCTTGTCTCTTACTTGTTCTTGCTGTCTGATAATACCTGGGTATCACCGGCGACGCCGAGAGTTAATCATGCGCATATACGGACCGTGCTCGGTGCCGAGGCTACTTATCCTCCATGGCACGACGTACCTGGCTCCGCTAGTTCCTATTCTGCCATATCTGGATGCTCGAAACAGCAATACCTGACGCGTATTTGCCGGTCTCGAAACTTGCATCGTCTTCATTCTTGAGGCGGATCATGCAGGCGTCCGCTTATTCTTCCAAGTGCGGCCTAATGAATGAAGGTGCGCCAGGTTATTCTTGGCGATATAATCTCTTCCCTTCAATGCGTCCTGCAAGCTCGATGTTTGTTGTACCGCGGCGATTGCCGCTGCACAGACGCAACGTCTGGCAGTATCTGATGCTTGTCTCGGGACTCGCTCCTCTATGCAATGTTCCTCGAGAAGCCGTCGGTCCGGTCTGTAGGACGTCCGGTGCCTGGAACAAATCAAGTCTCGGTGAAGGCACTGTCGTCGTACCTGAATCAAACTGCGCTGTTAGGCAAGTTGCGCCTGTCGTAGCCTTTCAGCCTCAGCGCCTGTTAACCAGTATCAGCTTACCCAGTTGGCACTGCCGGCCATTACTCTCGCGCTTCACCTCATCACTCCGGCGTATCCGTTCTGTCTGGTTAGGTGCGTCATGTGAAGGTATTAATCCTTTCCTGACTGGGACACTTCGATAATCTTGTCCGTTTCGCAGATGTAGCGCGGAATTGGTGGCTGTCTGCAGTGACGGTCATGGAACTCTCGCTTGTCTGACAAAATTTTCCCGTGCAAGGCACTTCCTACATGAACTGGCAGGAGTGGTCTATGGATACCCATCTCTGCGACTACGGCCACCCCTTAGCTCGTAGTAGCCGGACGGTGAATGAATTTACCTCCACCGTCCGGCGCTCTGGAGCGCTCCAAGCCTCCCGTAATGTCACCGGTCGATACATTGAGGCGTTATTGCGCAGTCCGGACCTTCTAACCATGCAAAGTAGCATTTTCCGGATGTAGGTCTACCCAGGACAATTGCTTGCGGTTCTCTTGACTTCTGACCCGGTCTCACGCGTCGTGCACCAATAAGGTACGACAATAAGTATACCCTTTCCCGTAGCTCGTATCCCGCTCTCTCCAACTGTCGATTCACGGGGCAGTTGTTACATCACTCCATTGTCCGTCTCGGAACATGTAGGTGTGAGATCGCGGGTTCCAAGGGTGCTGCAGGGATCAAGTATGGTATGACACATCGTTTCTGCCCTCGTCCAAGGACACGGCCGAACAATAACGCTCAGCAGAGCATCAACTTTGGCACGATGCCGACGGCGTTGGACAAAGCAGCTCGGGTCGTAGTGTATGCAATCCCGACACCGGCATTCCAGTTCGATTTGCTGGGCCGACTGTCCAGGGTGCAGGCGGCGTTGTATCGCGTGGGGCTTGTGATATCCAGGGTACGCGTGCAGTTAATTGTATCCCGTCCTGTGTCGCATCACCTCTTTTTTGGGGGCCCAGCGCCCGCCCACAACCGATTCAGGGAATGGAGGGATCGTTTCCACGACGTCCCGGGGCCGAGAATATGATGGGTGGGAAGTTCTTATGGCTGTTGTCCGGGACTCCGATCTGATCTTGACGGAACTAATTTGTCTGCACCAGTATATTACATTTACGTCACTACCGTGACCGGTCAGCCACCAGCAAAAGCCAAATGGCACCTCTGCCGGGTTCACTTGCCTATAGGGGACGGTATTCCCAGGCACATGGGCGTAGAAATGCCAGTTCGTATCACTTTAATCCCGGGCGATTCTGAAAGTCTTTGCGGTAGAAAGCATAATAACTCTGAACAATGACAGGCGGGAGGAAGGTGAAATTAACGTTGTGGACGTCACAGATCCCGATCCCGGTGAGTTGCAGAAGATCTGAATCTTCCGTTACAGTGACCGTATGCGCGACCCTTCAGATTTGAAACGCTATGATCTGAAAAAGCATCCTGTCCCTGCGTCCGCGGTGCCACGCATGCCGTGTAATGGTGACTCAACATGGAGATGTCGGGCCCCGCGTAGCGGTAATCCAATCTTTGCCAGTTTACACGCAAATCTCAGCGTTCCATATTGGACCAGCAACGCCGTTCAGATGTAGATCTTCGTCCGTTCGTTTCGGTCCTGGCCCCATATAAAAGGTCTCCAACTTGGCTGACAGTCGTCCAGGGCTCCTTCCTTTAGTTTCCGACTTCGGTTCTCTTCCCTTTTGTACCAATTCTTGAACTAATCCGCCCTCCTATCCTAATTCTAATCTCGCAGCCATGTCTACGTCGAAGCCTGCGCCAACTCAATTGGCACACCCCGCCAAAATCATCATGCCTGACTTGGTCTCGCATTGTGACTTCAAGCTTCGTATCAACCGTCACCACCGACAAGCTGCCGTAGCTTCCGAACGGTGGATGTTCAAAGGTGGAAACTTGGACGAGCAGGGTCGTACTGCCTTCCGAGGTCTCAAGGCCGGACTTCTGACGTCGATGTGCTACCCCGACGCGGCGTACCCGCAACTCAAAGTGTGCTGCGACTACATGAACTACCTCTTTCATTTGGACAACCTCACGGACGACATGGACAACAGTGGAGCCAGGAATGTTCGGGATGAGGTGATGGGCGCTCTTCGCCATCCCGAGTCGTTCCAGGTGTCAGCTAAAGTTGGGCGCATGACTAGGGAGTATGTCCTATCATGTTATTCGATCGCTGGATAACGCTGAACTATATTGTTCTAGCTACTGGAGACGTTTCATTCAGACCGGGTCGAAAGGCTCCCAGGAGCGCTTTATCCAGACATTCGACGACTTCTTCCACGCTGTATTCCAGCAAGCCATCGACCGCAAGAACGGTGTTGTTCCTGATCTGGAGTCTTACATCACCCTTCGTCGAGACACCAGTGGATGCCGCCCTTGCTTCGCACTCATCGAGTACGCGAACAACCTGCATCTGCCTGACGAAGTCATGTCGCACCCTATAATCCGCAGTCTCGAGGACGCTTCGAACGATTTGGTGACATGGTCTAACGTATGTGCTGAAGTTATCAGAATTAATGCGCAACGACTCAATAAACATCTAGGACATTTTCTCATACAACGTTGAACAAGCGCGTGGCGACACTCACAACATGATCGTTGTCGTTATGCGTGAGCAAGGCATGTCGTTACAGGAGGCTTTCGACTTCGTCGGAATGATGTGCAAACAATCAATTGACCGGTTCATCGCCGACCGGGACAACCTCCCGTCGTGGGGACCCGAGATTGATCGTCAGATTGACGTGTACGTCGACGGTCTGGCGAACTGGATCGTGGGTAGCTTGCACTGGACGTTTGAGTCTACAAGGTATTTCGGTAACAATGGCAAAGATGTCAAGGCCAACCGCATCATCACACTGCTTCCAAAATGTGCTTGAAATGCATGACTCTGCGCTGTAATACCCAATGGTGAGCATTTGTGACGTCTCCTTTGGGCTTTCGTGTTGACCTGTTAGGTTTGCTTGTAGACGCCCACATCGCTATTTGTTTATCATGTGCCACATCCCATCAATAGACCTCAGAAGTCGCCCGTGAAAAGTACACCTCGTCCTGCTGTCTGTATTCTAGCGTCGCCCTCCCCCCACTTTCCCTGTAGCATCACCCTTCAAACCCGTACACTCTTTTTATTGCTTTCGTTGCTGTAGCTATGACCACCATTCGTTCGTTCGCATTATAGACGTACACCTTCGCTTTCTCCATCTAGACCTTTAGTTTGATTAATAACTTTAGTTGCGTGCAGCGCGTTATATTACACCTACATTACTAGTAGCCCATCCCACCGCCTACCTCCGTACATAATCCCTATCTCTCCTAGTCGTCCGTTATATCATACATTTTTGAGGGCGCCTAGCGTCCCCTCACTGAACTTCGTGCCGTCCGTCCGTCGTCACTTGCATTTTGCGCCTGACATGAGCGTGTCTTAGAACTCTCAAAGCGGGCATGGCATGGTCCTGAGTCATTGACCAGTATCCACTTATAATGCACATCATGATCGTATCGTGAGGACGTAGGGTTCCTCAGTGACCAACGCTCCGGATCTTGGCCCGCAGCCATCACAATGAATGGATTGGCGCAGTTATTGGCGCTGAGCCGAGGGTGTCAATACAGCCACTATCCTACAGTTGCTGACCTTCCGAGTCCCATTTGAGATTGACAGTATCAAGCCTACTCTCTCACATCTGGTGCGAGAGAGATGGTGACCCAGCGATCACAGCCATGTGCAGTGCGATAAGCCATCATTTTGGACTCGGAACTTGAAAGTCGCGTATTGTCGAGGGACGTCCGAGGCGGAGAAATGTTCGAAAGTCCATATGTCCTGATTTATGTGTCTTGGGGACTAAAATTTATGGTCCGACAATATGCGATTTTTTTCCAAGTAGGCCCATCGATCTGTAAATGGCTGGAATTCGCGGCATGTCGACAATAGTTTACAATGAGTCGACAATGAGTCAACCTCAAGATGAAAGGAACGGACATCTGGGTACTTAGAAGCAAATGATTTATCGTGGTAGAACATGACGGTAACATAACGGTAGTGATCTCAACAGGCCACATTAGATACATGCTACGTCTAAAAATTATACGAGCGGTTAGTCTACACAGATAAGCAAGATGTAAGCGTAGATTGACAATAAGAATGAAAACCGGAAGACACACTAGCGCGAGCGAGGGAGTAGCTCGACCACGCGCGACATTTTAACATCCTTTCCCTTGTCACCGAAGTACCGACCAGAGTCGAAAGACCAGTGCAAGCTCCCCACGATCCAATCAGCCAAGCCCTGCACGTAACGAGCCACAGCGTCGTCTATGCCGGGACCCCATGAGGGCAAGTTGGCCCGATCCTCCACGAATCGGTCGATGGAATCTTTGCACATGGAACCGACGAAGTCCACGGCGCTCTGCAGCGAAAGGTGCTTCTGCTTCATGACGACGACGATCATGTTGTGTGTATCGCCGCGAGCTTGCTCGTTGTTGTAGGAAAATATATCCTGGACAAAGTAAAAGCAGGTCAATATAACAATAATAGAGGGGTGAATGGGTCGAACAACTTACGTTGGACCAGGTGACCAAGTCATTGGCAGCGTCACCCAAACTGCACAGAATTGGATGTTCCATGACCTCGTCCGGTATGGCGAGGTCATACGCATATTCTATGAGTGCCCAACACGGTCTGCAACCGCTAGTGTCGCGCCGCATCGCAATGTAGGACTCCAGGTCAGGGATATGACCTTCTTGTCGATCGTACGCCTGTTGACTGACAGCGCTGAAGAACGCATCAAAAGTCTTGATGAAACGACTCTCGACACCGAATGTCGACGTAGTGGCGAGTCGAGTCCAGAAACTAGCCCTTTTATCAGTAATTGAATCGTTAAAGTGGAATAGCACGTACTCTCGAGTCATCTTACCAACTCGAGATTGCGGGCGGTACCCATCCGGGTCACGAAGGACGCCGATCACTTCATCTCGTAGAGACCATGTACTTGATTTCTTCATGTCATCCATTAGATCGTCAAGGTGGAATAGATAATTCATGAAGTCGCAGCAAACGCGTAGTTCGTGATACGGCGCGTACGGGTAGCACATGGACGTCAGTTCGCCCGCCTTGAGAGCAAGGAAGTCTGCACGTCTGTGCTTATTCAGGTTCGCATTTTGTAGAAACCACTCCTCGGATTCCTTGGATGCTCTCGCGCAATGGACATTGGTTCGAAGTGGAAAGTCGCAATGAGAGACCAAGTCCGGTAGAACGATCTTAGCCGGAGGACTATCCGCCGTCGAAAGGCATCGCGAACGGCGAGGTATACAAGACAAATGCATAGTGGGGAGGAAGTCAAGAGAGCGGAGAAGGGGCGTCCAAGCGTTCAAGCCGCAGAAAATAACCAAGAAAACCACAGGCCACGGAGCAGTACGACATGAGGCCCTTTACTTTTATACGCTCGACGTGGCCCGAAACACGCGGACCCTAGATTGAATCGTCGGCCATTTTGCAGGTTATTTTGGATGAGGTGCGCGAGATTAGAGTGGCCGGGTCTCATTGTGCAAGATCGACAGGGCCGAAGACGGTGAACTCAGCTTCTTGTGTCGCCCGCTCATTGGATCTCCCGAAGCCACGACGTCCGATGCTTCGACTTCACTTCGAGAAGCACTACAACCGCCCGCCAAGTGACTGTTGCGCCGGAGATGCGTTACGTATGACCCCTGTTTGGTATCACTAAACGTACGTACGGCGCATAAACGGACTGGGCTCGCAAGGCAAGCATTGCCCGCCCACTTCGCGTTGTATCTGGGCTTCGAAGCGCACCTGCTCTATAGTTGAATATGTTTAGATCAACCGCAGCCTCCAAGGCGTGCATGAAATGCGCAGGCTCAAAGAATGGAGGTCAAACATGCGGACAACCTGCAGACCTCTGCAGGCACTGGTGGGCCCGTGGGACTTTGATCACTGGAATTACCAAAAACGTCAATGTTTTAAGATGTGAAATGCCGTCGGGGCATGTCAAACAACTCGGGAATATCTGTGATATTCGTGGCGGCATGCAATGGGATGCGCGACAGTGTACGAACACCGCCGCGTCTTCCCTTTGCATGTCACAGCTACAAGCCGCCCAACAAGATGATGGCTGCGAGGGAGACGAAGAATAATCATCCAAATCGGAGACGACCTCGATGAACAGGCTCAAAAACGTATAAATTTAGAATTCCTCACCCAATGCAGTGGTATAACACTGACAAAAACGCCAGAGGAGATGCCTCCATACTGATTAGATGAGCCACAGGCAATATCCGGCCAACAGCCGGGTGGAGATTCTCCTGGAAGGAGCAGAATTGGCAGACAACGAAGGGCGTGTGTAGACTTACTGCACGGAACCTGGCACGATTGCCAATAAAGACGACGTGGAGGTATATGAGTCTCGGGGCTTTCGTCTAGAAAATCCAAGCCAGGGAAGCCATCGTAGCCCAGCTTCAATGCATTCTGATGCAAGTTATTGGATGACAACAACGGATACCCGCGCACAGTCAGAGGGAAGTGGAAATGTTCGACACCTTGCAATACTTGCCTGGTACGGGAAGGCCATCACTGCGAACACAGCGGCTGGTGATCAAGACCGTCGCAACGAGCGATGCTATTAAAAGCACACTACACCTGCGCAGAAAAGCAAGGCGCATCAGATATCTTAAACAGCGCTGCATCATGACACCTATGACAGATCTATGCAGACGAGAGGCTGGCTGGTACAGCTGCAGGTTGTACCTCGCGGTCACGTCGAAAAGAGACGCCGACGAAAGCCGCACTGCCCCGCGTAGTCCCCGAGCATGCCATGGAAAACACTCACCTGATCATTGCGCAATGGTGCGAGTCGAGATCAAAGGGCCAAAGATCGGGAGTAAAGGTGATGAGCGCGCGACGCAATACAGTCGTACTAGTGAAGAATAAAGATCTGAAGGGCAACGTACAGCGAGATGGTGTTCAAGCACGAAGGCCATTTTGGAATTGGGCAGTAGACGGGCGCGCCTTCATATCAGACTATGCCGTTTAACCCGCGCCAGGAAGCCTATCAAAGAGTAATGAAATGAGAGACGGGAAGATCGTGCCCTGCGAGGTGCATTCAGATAATCGTTATCGGTAATATCTCTGGACAGGAGTTCCTTTCATGACGATATAGTGACTCTATTCTTGCAAGAGTAGGAGGACTATGGATACATCCCAAGAAATGCTACAAACGCCGAAGGCTGTCCCCATTCATGCAGTTCTGTGTCAAAGACTGTCCAAGAAACTCTCACCGCATATACCGACACCGGCAAAAACTTAGTCGATACCTTACGCGCCGACATGACCTTCACCCTGGGCTCTATCCTTCACCAGCTCGATTGCGACACACCAGAAGATTCGACCCCAGGGCATACCGTCCTCGCCTTCTGGGTCTTCAGGTTTTCTGCGCTTACAGCAAACGAACCGTACTTGCTGCCCGTCCCAATAGCGCATAAGGTCAATGCTGAGCCCGCCGGGAAGCTTCAGAGCGAGCGAGGGATTGAATTCTAGGTAACCGTAGCAGAAGTCCGTGGTTAAGACATCCTATAGCATCATTTCAGGCGTAATCCGATGACGTCGTGCATGCTCAAAAGGACTTACCTCGGGACCAAAGACAATTTCTCTCCTGCGCTTGGCCTGAGTGAAATACGAGCGACGTTCGCTAGCGTTGGATAGTGACAAATTCCTCTTCTCTTGTTTGCCCTCCTTGCCCGATTTCTTGGAACTACTCGACGCGGTTGATTTAATGGAAGCCAATGAGGAAGAAGAGGATGCGGCTGTCGGAGCGGTGTATAGCTCTTCGACGTCGGTTGCAGCCAGATACAATTGTGAAGTGTCGTCGTTAAGGGGAGCCAGAGGAGGGAATGCTGGGGCCTCCGAACGAGTATAAGCCAAGTAAGGCATGGTCGATATAAGAGGCGACAAGGCCCACGGTTGGGTCTGAGATGTCAAGTCGTGCTCCAAAGTGGGATCTACATATCTGTGCAGATATCAGTACGAGCTCAACAGATGCGATTTCCTCTTCGTAGGTCTTGCGGCACGAACAAAGTACGTGACAGAGGAGAAAGGGTGATACTCAAACAGCGACGAATGACGTACTTCATGAGCTTTAAGGCAGCCCCTGAGCCCCATGGAAGGTTTAACGGATGGTCGAACGTATTTCCAAACAGGATGTCATCTGCAGATTGTGGTTCAAGGAACCTGCCTAAGGTACGCATCACATGTCGGCGTAACACTATGAACATATGGAAAGTTTGTTCACCTTGGACCTGAATGCTCCAGGAAACGTCCTTCCTCTCTGGCTTCTGGAAGTAGTCATGCTTCAGAACTTTCCCTTCGGCATCCGTGAAATCCTTTATGTATGCCAACACCTTCCCTTCGAACACGTCCGACACTATCTCGAATGATTTATCCGAATTGACTTCAATCGGCTGCAGAGAAGAGAGGCTCGGACCAGCCAAAACACGAAGACGAGGCGACATGGTGGTTGGAAGGTAAGATAGCAACGCACAAAAGTTGGAGTCGTCGAGGTGACCGGTACGTCAAGACCCCCACCTTCCGCTTTCGATATCTCGCTGGCAGTGAGACCGAGCATCCCAACTGAGAACATTGACGGTGCAGAGAGCATTCATAACGTGTGTATAGAAGATAACGCTCCTAGTTTCGTGCACTCTAGCTGTGTTGGGACTCCCGTGGCATCGCAGCATATCCGTCGGTGATCCTCAAGCGTGGGAATTGTGGCCGAATGTCACTTTGCCTTGACCTGGCCTTGACTCTGCCACAATTTCTGCGTCCTGGCTGCATCCTCCTCTATGTGAAAAATTGGCGGTCCGTGCTGGTTGGACGCAACTTTGCTCGGGAACATAGGCTAATAGGATGCCAAAAGACGACGTCAGTAGGATTCGAATCTACGCCCGTTCCGAGTAGTTCAAGTCTGTCTGCCACTCCTCCCTTCTGACGTTCTCCCTCTCCCTTCTGAGTTCACTCCAGCCCTTCACCCACACCTGTGTGGTAGGTTCTCTTCACCAAACATCCCTCCTACGGCCCCTCTGATGTCACTGCATCACAATAGTCCTCTCACTCAAGATCTGTAAATGCCTTCCCAACAGCTGCCCTGTCTCGGACATCCAAGCCCTACTTATAGACCTCAGCGTTTTGTTGCAATCTCGTATCCATTGACAGTCCCCGACCCGTCGACACATGAGTCGGCTATCCGCACCAGCTACACGTCGAAGCTAAAGGACGAATACTTTCCTGTAACTGACACTCGAGATACAGATACAACCGTCCCATACAGGCTAGACACCTCAATATCCAGTGAACAGGTAAGCGATCCTGTTTACGTCCCATATATCCCTTCCACGGTACTGTGTCGTTGTCAGCCGCATACTTCACGGTACTCACTGATGCTCTGCATAGTCCCCAGCCGTCCCTACAAGCACGAGCCGCCTTCGTCGGCCAATCTTCATTCATGAGGCTACGTGTCGACAATCTCTCCGCTTTGCAGTTCGTCCTCGATTTGGTACTGACGTTTGTCGACTTCAGTGGGGCATCGACAGCCTTCTGCCTCCTTTAAACGAGCGTGGACTAAGCCAGGAATCCTCCTAAAGCTAATAACGTACATAGCCTACTCTGTAAGGCACAGATATATAGGTGCGGTGGCCGAGTGGTTAAGGCGACAGATTAGAATCAACTGACAATCTGTTCCGCTCTGCGGGCATAGGTTCGAATCCTATCCGCACCGTTTTTGGTAATTCCTCTACCATATTCGGCCATTCACACTTGTGTTTGTTCTTTTTTTTGGTGGAGCGTTGGTTCCCGCTGGGCGGTTACTGAGGCGTCACCATTGGCATAATCGTTGCCCCTGGACCCGCTGGTTTGGGCAACCTTTCGGTTGCTAGGAATGTCAATAGTATTGTTGTCACCGCGGGGAATGCTTTTATGCACCGAGTGAGGGGCTCAGGCCGTCCAGTATCTTGTGCAGCGTGTCTTTACCTTACTTACCTTACCCAGGGATTCTCATCACCCGACCCCTAACGCTGCAAAGGACGGCCTAAAAAACCGCCGCCTGTTTGTACCCAATCGTGGGTAGCGTCTTCCATACCTCTTGGAGGAGAGGAGGCCCGACCACGTTGCTGGCCCTGCGTGGGTGTAGGGCTTTGAGTGAAAAGACAGTCGAAGTTGTGGTCTCTTGTTGATGGCTCTCAACCATTTATTATATATTTCGGTGGGTGCGAAGTTTGCATTCTCATTGCGTATCACCCTCTCACAACGGAGTTTCCAGAACATGTGTGCGGATCCGCAATTAGTATTTGGTACAGGCGCATATCGCCAGTGAGTAGTTGTCCTTTCGCAGATGTGAACTCCGCCATGCCACAGGCTAGAATGAGGGCGGAACCTTTCTTTATTGCGTTTGGTCCACAGCTCTTCGAGTCCCAGATCAATTCCTGTCCGGGGGCGTCACATGCTGTCTGTATGTGATCCATAGATTCTAGCACCCCACAGTGGACGCAGGTTCCCCGTTCTTTTATCTCTCCGGGGAAGGAGCCTCGGGTCCATTTGTTCGCCCACCATGTAGGCGTCGTGTGCCGTCGTCCACAGGAAATAGCGGCTCTCCGCGACAAGTCTTCAAGTTTGCATCTCGGGGATTCCCATATTTTGCTATCTGTAAAAAGAACAGGGGCTGTAGTCTGAAAGTCTCTTCAGTCGCTGCCTTTGTCTTTCGGATCATTGCATCGGTACGCGACCGTTTCACAAACCTGGTGAGTTTGTGCGCTCTGATGGCGCAGTAGGCCAGGGCTTGGCTGGCAGCCATGACCTTCACTCCCGACAGGCGTAGGTGAGTTGGGATTGTCAGGTTTATATTGTCGCACTGAGGTTTCGCGGCCGCTGCGCCCGCTGCGGCATCGGCCTGTTCGTTGCTTTCGTGTCCATTGTGACCTTTGACCCATGCGAAGGTGCGAGCCGCTCGGCTCCTGAGGGCGGCTAATGTTCCGCGTATGATATCACTATTGGCCACATCCACGAAGCCTTGATATGTTCGGCCATTCACTTCAATGTACATTGACACTAGTGACATATGATTGCAGTGCGTAGCAGTCACAACCTCTCATGTTCGCTCCTGCGAGTTGGGGCTTATGGCGGGGCTTATGCTGAAAGTAACGAGGAATGTAACGCAGCTTCATCCCGGTGCAATCCACATCTAACGTCCGCCGCTTCGAATTCAGTCGTTATCATGTCAAAAAATGTTAGATGAGGATGCGAGCCATAGGTCCGCAAGAGGGCTCTGGGTCAGGCAATTGAATCGTTCAGTCAATGCGGGCCCTACCTTCCAATATGACCCAAGCAGAGTAGACGGGGTTACTATCGCCGCAATATTACTGATGTCATTTTAGGAGTGGCTTTCGCCCCACCTGCTTTTTACGGACTGACCGTACCCCTCTTTGTACAAAGCGCAAGCTGGTATCCACCGAACCTGGCATCAGCGTATACTGGGAGCAGGATAGCATACACATCGACCTCCCGGCGCTTTGGCGGATCCTTGACGCGTCGACGCCTTTGAGGCGAGCACCCGAAAGGATATACTGTACTATTTGGCGGCAACGCACCCCGGGAGTATCGCTGCAGACAGGTGCAGCACCAAGCCTATATGAACAACAAACAGATTATTATAACCACGGCAGGTGCGCCGCTGGCCTAAGTCCGCTTGTCGCCTGTCTTATTAGCGGAGACGTTCAATGCTCCGAGATGTTCAGCGACATCCCAGCGGCGAATCAGCAAGCGTAGTCCCACTCTCAAGGATCTGGTGATACTTGTGTGGATACAGAAAGCGAATGGAGTCTCACCTAGCCCCGACTTAATGGTGGATTGCCAATGGGTGCAGGCCGAGAGCTCTGCCCACGGAGATGAAAGGTAGGCGATCTTATGCAAGGATGCGGCGTATTCGTCAGCTCCGTAGGCTGACCTTCATGATACACCGGCATGCAAGCGCGCAACGAACCTTCCTTTACGTGTAGCCTCAAACTTATATGTGGCATGCATGGATAAAGTACGCACCCATACCAAAGACCTGCTTCTTCACATTAATCACGGGCATCGATTAGGTAGAAAAGTACCGACCTGGCCAACCAGCCCCATTCCTATGATCGCAGCCGCTTCTGGGGTGCGGTAAGGTCGAAGCCCCGGCACATATTCTTAATCTCGCGTGGCATCTACTACCGTCGGCACGCTAAGGAAGAAGGCGGCTGGCAGGCACGACGACTACCGCCAATCCCCGGACAATTCTAGCAATGTGCCCCTTCTGCTCGGTATACTTCCCCTGAGCCGCGTCGCATGACTTGCATGGGAATCCATATCCCAACGTTAAGCATTCAGGCAATATTGCCCGATGACCACCTGCACATTCTCCCCCTTCCTGGCGCCTTGTCACAGGCATATGCCGGCCACGAGGAGGGATGCATGTGCGCAAGTAGCAGATGAATTTGAACGCGCCGGGTCCGCCAAGGTTTGAGAAACTCACCATATCGTATACGCCACTGACTGAATGGCAGTTCCCACCGGTGTCACACGAGCGTCCGCAGCCTTAGGCAGAAGGTAACGAGGGCCCCAGGGAATACGAACAGCTTGTCAGGCACGCCGCAGAGCCGAGTTGGTTCCGGCGGACGAGGTTGGGTTACTATTATCAGCAGCGTATCAATCAAGGGTAAGTAAGTATCAAGGGTGGATGTATACGTTGGAGGGTACGTACCATGAACACGCACGCCACCGAGGTGTCGGGACATCTGATCCTCGGCAGCCCGGCAGCATACAAGGGGTGCGTCTGTATATGCGCACCTCCAGGTCGTTCGGGGAAACCTGGGGCTCCGTTCGAACCTGCTGCAGAATACCACCGCGTGTATAGGGTGTAATGAGGACTGTTGGCATCTTTGCGGGCGCTATTGGAGGTCGGGTGACTGGAGGTGTTTCCTGAATGAGGGTGACAATGTACGATCCTATTCAGTCGCGTTACCCGGGGACCGATCGATGGCCAGCGTACTCAAACTGGAGCAAACGGGAGCCGGGCTGGCTGCGTAAGCGCACACGGTGCAGACCAGGGACATGTCCAATTTTCGCGGGCCCATTTTCGGGGTATGAAAGGCCGTTTACGACCATAGTTCTCGTGGGCAGGATCGACGCCTAAGAGAGCCTGGAATGGGAGAAAAGCAACCTGTTGACTGCGGATACCTATGGGGAGGAAGGAGCATGCATGCTGTCGCGGTTGTGGTCCCTCTTCCGCCTTTACCGTAGGCACCGGCTCCACAGTACATGGTTCAGCCTAACCACAGGTCCCCTTGAAAGATAGCGCGTCGCATGAGCAGGTTCGTATCAGGGTTGTATTAATCAAGAGACGCATACCTTTCACATCCGAAGGCCTTTCCGGAGGCAGCATCCACATATTCAACAGACGCATACATCCTACGCTGGAGGGTATTTACGTCAAGCACGCAGATGTCAAGTTGAAAAGTTCCCCGCCTCGTTCAACACAGCGAAAGCAAGCAAGAACGTTAACGACTGAATAGGATCGGCACTTGACCTGCCCCTACGTCCACGGATGCCAGTGCCCAACTGATCTCGGACCATCCTGGGAGCCAATCTCGGAAAGTATAGGTATTCCTTCCCCATGGATATCGGAGGAATCAATCTTGGATAGAGCACGAGATAAACGCAAGCGTGCTGGCGTTTATGGAAGGAGACTCGAGAGGCGCGCAGGAAGTGCCAATCTCGAAGCCTCACGTGGACAGCGCGTTACGGCATGCCAGTGGTACGCTTGGTAGCTCTCGAGAATCGAGATGCATCGTCCGTCAGCAACCCCCCTCGCAGGACTGCAGAACAATCCATTGAGCGTTTTCGCGCATATATGCGTAAGCACCGAGCGCCGCTAGAGATACAGCTTCGGTCCATGTCTGGCGCCGACACGTCGCCGCCGCCCGATGCAACATCATCGGGGCAGAAATCGAGGGTGGCTTTATTCCGGTACTTACATACTGTACATCTCGTGTCTCAGCGGTGCCTAGAAAAGCAAATACATCAGCGTCTCGGGCTGACTGTGGCCCTATCTTTACTTGCGCCGCGCCACAACTGGTACCGGTCTTTGTTAGAACCTGGGATTCCATTCCAGTCACACCTTGCAATAGTACGTGACCGCGACGCACCGTGAAACCAATGCTCACACGCACGGCCCGACGAGGAGGAACGCAGTGTATGTGCTTACTGTACGAGCGCGTACGTGGAGAATTGGATGGCGAGCGGCCAGGCGCGAAACGCGCAGCGCTCGCACAGCTATCCCCACACGCACCTACTTACTGCTGCGGGCATACAAGACAATATGATATGAAGCCGCAGCAGGCAATTAGAGAGATAACCGCGGCTCTGAATGCATCCAGGGAAGGGGGACGGCTCAGACAGCAGCCACATTTCAGTCAGCTTGACAGCGAATGCATACATACTAGTCAGGATCTGTGGGCCTAGGCTTGCTGGTGATAACGCGAGCGAACAGAACATATCCGAATCGCCGAGAATGAATGAATGGGCGAATAGGGTTACAATTGATATTACGAATGGTGTGAGTATTGGCGCCCACAACGTCAACAGGCATACGAAACGGCCGATGAGGACGTGTTGAAATACAGCACTCAAGAAGAGGCGAGGACCGGAAGGATCGCGCAATTGGAATCGTATTGCGGGCGGCGAGGATGAATTCGGAGTACACGAAACATACCCGACCATTGCACACCGACGCGCCCGTGTCTGTCCGCACCCGGACGCCAGTGAGAAGAGCCGGGTCGGAGTGTATGGGTGTCATTACGGCTGCAAGCACTGGGAGGGTCGGGATTCGGGAAAACCGACTGACGCGGCATGAACGAGCAGCAGGCCCAGGTCTAGAGCCGCAGCGTGCTGTGTGACGGGATCCCCGGGTCGACCCCACAGAAAGCCTGTTGACTGGTCGATCGTCGCGTTGGAGTAGCGATGGACTGTCAGCGCGGTGGAGCATCGCGCTGGCTTTATACTATAGCTACGTACGTATCGATAAGGATTTAGCTCGCAAAAGCCCGGGCGTGGTACAGCCAGCATGGGGCGCGACGACAATATACGCGTCCGGTCACCGATCGCGGTGTGCGTGACGGGACGAGACGAGACTGGGTGCAGAGTCAATCCGAGGCGGGAGCCGCGGCAGGACGGGTTTCGGCAGGGGTTTTCGAGAGACTGCCTCTGCCGCTGCGATAATCCTGCCTGCATTTTCGTGCTCAGATTGGGATTTCTAGAATAGGCGGCGCGGATCTTGGAGGTGCGTATGGGTGCTCCCTCGTCTGAGTCTACTGTAATCTCATCTGCGCCCGAAGTTCGTGCGGGTGGATGGGAACCCAGAAACGGGATGGTGACGATGGTGCAAAATTCCAAGGTCCGGATATATCCCACCTGACAAGGCAGCGCGAGTGCGAGCGGGACGTCCAGATAAAGTGACATCACCTTCGAGCGTACGAGAGCAACCTTCGATGCCGTGTCTGTTTGTCTCGAGATTTCGAGGCAAATGATGAGTGGAAGGGGAAGGTTTCGCCCGGACTCCTGGCGACAATCTGGAATCAGATCAGGCTGCGAGCGGTCTGGGCTCGCGCTCCCCGGATAGGGCGATCGCTCGTGTTTCTGCCATTGGACAGAAGAGAGCAGCGGATTTTTCGAGAGGCGGCTGACGCCTTCGACGAATGGAGACGACCGGCAGCGATCAGCTGGCCAGACTTGTTTGTGGCTGTCCCGCCCATCGTTGGGCCAATCACGTCGCCGCACCGCAGACGACGCCGAAAATTTGCGCTTGCTGCTGCGAGCAGCACGGCGTTTCAGAGAAACATGGCGTGGGTGTGGCCAGGGAAGCTGTCTCTGATATATCGCTGATTACATCGCCGTCCATTGTCGCGCGCGAGAGCTGTGTGCGCCCGGGCTTTTCATAGGACAGCGCGCGCGCGCGGGGGCAGCCGCCGAACGCGCCGTCGCCCGTAAAAACCGAGGTCAGCACGACGTCACAGCCTCGCGCATCGATATGCCCAAACCGGCACCCACTCGGGGCCCACCTGCCATTCCGGGCAAACGTTCATTGGTCTCCACGGCGATGACAAAGCAGGCGGTCACAAAGAAAGCAGCAGCGAGATCGCATCGGGCGCCCTGCTCCTTCGCCACCCCCGCCCGGCCAGCCTGCGCCGCGGCCATATAAACGCCATGGCTCCGTATCCAGCTGCGCCCACTTGCCCCTGGCTACCGTCTTTAAAGCGGCGCTGCCGTCGTCCCCGTCTGCTTTTTACCTTTCGCCCTTGCTCGCTCGTCTGGTCGCCCCCCCTCGCGAGGCAGGCCTCCACCCAACCTATCACTGTCGCATAATCTAGTCAAGACGGCGCAGACACAGGCAATACCGACCGACCCGGGTCTGCAGCGACCTGGGATCGTCGGGAACGCGACGAGAATATGGGAGCCCAATTTGCGCTGGGATCTGTTCAGCCAGTGCTCTGTCTGGAACCCCAAAGCGCGGGGTGTAGACGTCTGGGAGTGTATCCGAGCTCGTGAGTGCCCCCCCCCCCCTTCCTCCATGTTGGCTGTATGCTGAGTATATGCGCCGTAGACGACTCGGCAGTAGGCACTGAACCGCCAAATCCGCAATACTGGAGATACATCGCCCGTAGGTGACCCTACCTCAGGGCTCTCGAGCGCATCCAGCTTGTTTGTCCCCCCGCCGCCGGCAACGACGACAGCCAACACCACCTTCGAAAGTTAACGCGTCCACATCCGCCTAACTCTACAACCAACCATACGCGACTACTCTACTTTACATTACGCATACACCGTCCCTCGCCGTCGTCAATGTATAGTCCCGCCCGCCAACAACGAGGGCACGCCCGGAGAAGGGAGGGGGAAGAAGAAGCACCATCGTTTGTTTGTTTCCTAGGGAAATTGGGGCTGGGTGGTGGGCTCGCAGGGCGTCTTGAGCTCGGTGCGTGCGGGAGAGGATGACCAGGCCTTCGCCATCGCTATGGATTTTCGATTTTACTTGGCTTTTTTTCGCCTTTCGCTCTAGTCTGTCTTTCGCATACTACTCATCCTCGTCACCACCATAGGCTATCGGACGTCGACTGCACCACCATGCACACGCCGCTGTATCACAAGGTCTCTCTTCTCGCGCTAGATTACATAGAAATAATCTGTATTTATTTCTCGGTTATTCGCTTCACGCATGCTCTCTCCCCACGTCGTTGCTGCCAACTGGTCGGTTGCTTGCGTGGTGTTCGGGACCGCTATCGACCGCCGCTCCACCCGCTCCCACTCCACTTGGATCGGATTCTGCGTGGAATTGCCAATATGTACCCCAAGCATGCTAGGTCGCATGATAATCATGCATGGAGACTCGAGAGGGCTCTGGGCTCTTGGCTCTTTTTCAAGTTGCAATTGGTGGGGGGACGCTGCGTGCGCGTACACCGGCGCCCACAACTTGCGCTTGGCCACGGTGCACGGAGACATCATCATAATCATATCGGACGGCAGCGATGGCTGGTGTGCTTCTAAGCAGCTATGCATATCTGCTGTATCTGTCCGGATTCCAGGGCGGTGGCGTTCGGTGATAAGCTTAGGTTCGTCCACGAGGATGGAGATAGGAGGCGGGAGTTGGGACTGAGAACGTGCATGCAATTTGGATTGGATTGGACCTGGAACCGTACGCATATGAATTGCGCGCAATATTGGGATTGGTGCGGCCCCTAAGGCCTAAGTGCTTGCAATTGCGTGTGGGGTGGGCTCCTGTGATCGTGATGGACATGATATATATATAGTGAGTCTCACTTGTCATTCATGGGCGGGTTCGTCGATCAGGACTCTGTGTTATGTTCAATCGGCCCTCCAAGTAGTACTTAGTGGGCACTGGGCTCGATCGAGGCCGCCGCCTGCGCGCTAACTGGCTAACCTGGGATTGGCTAGGTCAATAAAGACAGAAGGGACTGGCTAGCTATTCGAGAGAGGGGGGCTCAGATACGGCAGAAGGAAATCAGTTCAACGACTACGCGTCCGCGCCCCGGGATCGTCAAGGAGCGCGGTCGGACCGGGTGCATTACACGTATGTATCCAAGTCGGAAGAGACCTGACATACAGTACCCTTCCACCGCACCCCCCTCTCCTGTGAAGAAAGAACAGCTTTCGGGTTCTTATCACGAGCGAGGATGAGCTCATGCGGGGGAATTGGCGGCCAGGGGTGGGGCGTCTCCCAGGGGCAGGAAAGCGGGATCCCGCAGAAGCGCGAGTCAATTTCCGAGGGACGGTTACGTGTGGGTGCGGAATTCGAAGGTTCGGTGTTTCTGGATCTCTTGCGTGAGTTGCGTAGGTGGCTGAAGGGAAGTGTTAGGCACGCGTCCCGACGAAGTGGGCGTGCAACACCAATGCAACACGCCCGTGCTTGGCCGACTGCAGGTGAGAGGTTCGTCATCCGATCCTTCTAAGCCATACTGACCTAGACCAGGATATCCGAGCCGTCGTGGTCAGGCATCGACACTTCGAGCTGTCATTCACTTGTACACAGGGATCTACAGACGTTTGGTCACCGGCCTCCCGCCAGTGCCCAGCCTAGACTGACTGGTCCTGCATACGTGGTAGGTCTGCGGTTCGCACATACAAGACGCACCACGGCCTCCCGGATGTCATATCCGTACTTAGGACGTTAGATGAGGGGTTATATGCGCTTCGATGTCCGGCCAGAGGTCAGAAGGTGCGCGATTTGTGCGGGCGACTCACGACGGTCGCAGCTAGTGGCTGAGTGGACGAGACGAACTTCCAAGTTGGGGCGCGGCCGTGGCTGGCGAACGAGGTGAGGGATCAATGTCTGCGTATTTCTTGGACACTAAGAAGTCATTGGGCAGCGTTCGAGAGCACCTACCGGTCGTAGGCCTGACATCGACGCGCATATAGCCGGCACAATCATGTTTCCCGGTGAATATCGCGGTTCGACGAGGCTCTCCACGCCCTGTCGGATACGAGAGCATACACTCAGTTCACCAGTATAGGACGGCTGCTCGGGAGCGCATGCTTCGACTGTATGTCCGGACCGTTCTGGATCGGTTCGACTTCATTCGGGCGAATACAGCTCCCGCTAGCTAGCAGGTTCGTGATGCGTGGTCGTGCCGGAAATTCATGGAGTGCGTTCTCAAGATCCTCGTTGGCCTTGCGTAGGAGCGCATATGCTCAGTACCTGCTTGCTATCTGGGCGCATGCATCACCTCGCTCATGTCCGATGCTGCCTGAAGGGCAGGTGGCCACGCAAACAAGTATAGATCGGGGGCGGTGTCTGGACTAGAAGCGGCTCGCACCGAATGATCTTACAATTTTCCCTTGATTAGGCGTTGCGGGCCCCTCTTCTGCTAGCGGCCTTCCTCACTAGAGGTGCAAACTCCACTGCTCTTCGGAAGGTACGATGCTATCGGTCCTTGCCCGTCAGACAGATGTCCACGCACTGCCTAAGGCGAGTAAGCGCCATCCTCACGAGCGGCTGGTCGGCAGGAGGACATATGCAGGTGCAACGACGGTTCTCTACTCATATATGACGACGAGTCTTCGCTCATCGTCTAGGCTCCGAACCAAGACGAAGCCTGCGGATCGGGAATAAAAGGGAACGCTCGGGTTGACGCCGGAATGGTCCGAGAGGTCTAGCGATAGCGACCTCTCGCTATCTCCTGGTCTGACTCTGAGAACGCTCCTACAGTGACCACCGGCGAGCTACGTCACGTCCCAGGATTCGTATACCGTGAAAGGCTTGGTCCAGACAACCCGCAAGGACGCTGGGAGCACCTATGATTCGTCAGCGAGTCGGGCTTGATCTTCTGTGTCATACGTTTCTCACTGTCATCAGGTTCTCGGGATGGCATAGGGTGCGATGGTCCTTCTGGCATTACTCCTTTCCCTTGGTCTTCGTTCTGGAATGGCTCAATATAGGGACGGCGAGCTATAAACGGGCAGGCTACTTTCCGCTTTGGCAACTCCGACTGCTTCATGTGTTCTTGTACTCTCTGATCGTTTGCTACGCCAAGCTGCAACCTTTGAGGAAATCCGGGTCTTTCGCCCGACCTTCGAGTCCTGCCAACGTGCGCCGGTCATCCGAGCCTCGTACGACGTTTAGGCGGGTGCCGTGCTCTATTCGGCTTGCACAGGGCAAGGAAGGGCCTCGCCTCAATATGGTCTAGCAATCTCATTGGCAAGCCTATATCTCAAGGCTAAAGGCGTTCTTTGCTTCGATTGTGGTTCCCAGTGCTAGAAACCTGATTTGGTTCCGTCTCATCAGGTTCTCGCAGCTGAGTCTGAGAGCCCAGGCACGGCAGGCAAGGGAGGCGAATTTGAAATCTGCGTTGCTCTTCTCCCGCTCTCTGCGTATCCCTCTGCGAGGCTTAACAGTGGCTTAGCTGGGCGGACTAGCGTCTTCGCTCACTTAGGGTAAGCTATGCCTAGTTGTAGTATCGTGTCTGGCGTCCGGTGCGATGTGGGTGCTGTGGTTGGTTGGCGTCGTCCTAGGCGTGGGACGTTAAGAGTAGGTCCACTCTCACCGCGGAATTATCTGTCTGGATTCATATGATAGATTGCATGATGCGTCAAGGACCAGTATAGCTCGTTCTGGAGGTCGAAACGCATGTTTCGATGGAGTGATGCCGACAGCTCTCCGCTCACCGCACTGGGTACTCACCTCACCTCTGTGGACGAGTGGCGGCTTTGTGGTACTAAACCCCCCGCGCAAATATTGCTCAAGCGGGGGCCGAATGCTGCCGCAGATGTACTAACTTGTGCGACGCCACTTGGGTGCAATATGCTTTTCTTGCGTCTCCTGGATGCGTCTGCCCTCCTCTTGTGCTTACGGACACTCAATTCCACTGTCTACGGGAGGGAAGTGCAGAGACATACCGGACACAAAGCGCACAACACAATCTGAAATCAAGCTTCTCGACTCAACCCCCAGAGCTCGCGATCACCGGACAAAGGCAGCGGCAGCACCGATCCATGGGCCACCGCTGGTGATGTACACGTGCATCGGTGTGCTGGTCGTCCTTCGCCCCTAGTACTACCCAAAAAGTGTCGTCTTGAATTTCGATTGCCCCTGTCTAGTTGTATTTGGCGTATACCGGGGAGAGTACCTTGCGAGTGCCTAGCTATGGGTGCTTTCTTCGAGCCGAAGGTCAGGCAAGAATATTCGAGCAACAGCGCTCTCCCACCAGCCCAGCATCTGCCCCGATGCTGTCTTTATGAAGCCCTGAATTTTTCATGGACGGCTTAGACCAGATACCTTTTTGCCGGCTGAAGATGAGAAGCTTCGGCCTTGCCCATGGACGTACCTCTGGAATCTCACCTTGTCTGGACTCTTCCGGATTGCATTATATTGCCGGGGTGCGAGATGCTTTGTTCCCAAAGACCATGGAATGGACCTTACGAATACGCACTCAAAAAATGGAAAGGCCCCCCATGGAAGCAAGAGTTGGCGGTCTATAACCTCTCGACGTCCCGTATACTGTACGCCTTGAGTAGATAGACGAGTTGACCTCTCTCGTGAGTGAGCTTGTGTAGTCATTATTATTGGGCGACTTCCTGAAAGTCTCGATTTCACAGCCATTAGCAGCTACATTTGCCGGACGGGCGATTTGCAAGGTTTATGGACCGGCATCCTGTGGCATATTTTACCTGAGCGCGTTTGCCCCTGTGATATAATGCTTGGCCGCTTGACCGCACCTATCGAGAGGAAACGTGTACGTCGAGGTCAACGAACCTGGTCCTGCCAGATCAGACGTGCTGAGCTTGGACGAGTGGTACGTGATGATTTCAAGCATTGATGTGTAATACAGGGCCCAATGGATACGGGAACAAACCATGAGTCAATGTCATTCTCTTTGTCGGAGAAGTTTTCGGTTCGCATCCGTTTCCTGGGCCGACGCGGTTGGGGCTCGGGCCTGTCGCTGGCAACGACAATGCGTTCAGGAGACAATTCAGGAGATGACTCTGGAATGAAATCAGGATCACGATCCGGTCACGGTAACCTCGGCCGAGCGTCGTTATCGGGTTCGGCGGCGAGATCTTGAGGTGCAACAATAGGTCCGTGTGAGCAGCAGCAGCAGTATCACCAGCCGGTGCAGCGCTGGCTGCGATCAACCAATTGAACGAAACAGGCAAGAAACAGCTGACACCAAAAGCAACGTCGTCGCCCACCGGTGCAGCAGCGGCGGTGCTTGGGCAGACTGTTGCTGAGCAGGAGCCGGATTTGAGTCATTGGCACCCCAAGGGTCTGCGAGGGGGTACCGGTCCAACTGCGAAAGCCCAGCATAGGAGAACAAGTCGAGAAAGTTCAAGAAAATCACAAGAAAAAGGCAGGAGGTCAAGAAGGCTCACGGGGGGCAGAAAGACGAAAGGACGCGTATGGGGGACGAAAGGTCAAAGGGCCACTGTTATATAGCACCAGTAGGCGGCCCCGTCCTTTATTCAAGTTATCACAAGCTTGCCAAGTCAACAATATTTCAATCATATCGTTACACAAGGGATCCTCAGTACAAGAATTTCTTTGATTCTATATTACTTCTTCTTGACCTCTCAATTTGCCGCGTCACCCCTATGCATTCAGCTTACAAGCGGTCTGAAGGAGTAATTTTTGTCAGAACTCCGACGGAAGATGTGCGTGAGTGAAAACACGCGATACTCACTAACGTTGCCGAGATCCGCGCAGGCCACCTTGACGCGCTCGACAAGGGTCTTCTCACCCTCGCGGACCCAGACACGGGGGTCGTAGAACTAGTCAATGACCGTTAGAAACCTACAATATTCCTTAGTCGCAATAATCCCGTACCTTCTTGTTGGGCTTGTCGGCGCCCTCCGGGTTACCAACCTGAGTCATCAGGTAGTCCTTCTTCTTCAAGACGAAATCCTGTCACCAAGTGTCAATCAACGTGGGGTACTCATGATGGAGCATGTAGTAGTTACCCTGATGCCTTGCAAATAAGCGAACTGAGTGTCTATGTGGTACGTTTGCGTGAGCGCAGATCCCATTTATGTCCGAGATACACCATACCCGTGTCGACGTTCATCTTGACGACACCGTTAGTCACAGCGGTACGGATCTCCTCCTTGGTAGAACCAGAGCCACCGTGGAAAACGAGGTACCTTCACATCATAACATCGTCAGTCACGCCGGAAGGCAGTATTGAAAACAGGGCACAAACAGAGGCTTCTCCTTCCCGCCGAGCTTCTGCGAAGCGTACGCCTGGTGCTTGCCGAGCAGCTCGGGGTGTAGCCTGACGTTACCAGGCTTGTACACACCGTGCACGTTCCCGAACGCTGCAGCAATGCTGAAGTTGGGGCCGACCTTGCTCAGCGCGTCGTACACGTCCCAGATATCCTCGGGCTGGGTGTATAGCTTCGAATTGTCCACGCCGGTGTTGTCCACGCCGTCCTCCTCCCCGCCGGTGATGCCAATCTCCATCTCGAGCCAGAGGCCGAGGGGAGCCATGCGCTTGAAGTACTCTACGCAGGTCGCGATATTTTGCTCTTTGGGCTCCTCGGAGAGGTCGAGCATGTGCGAGGAGAAGAGCGGCTCGCCGTGGGCCTTGAAGTACTCCTCGTCGGCCTTTAGCATACCATCGAACCAGGGGAGGAGCTTGTGCGCGCAGTGATCGGAGTGCATCACGACGGGGCTGGTGGCCGCTGTCAGTGCATGGACGATCAGTGGGTGGATAGAGGGACTTACACGCCGTACTCCTTTGCAACTGTCCGCACATGCAGGGCAGCTGCGATAGCACCCGTTATCGAGGCTTGTTGCTTGTCATTGGCAAGACCCTTCCCGGCGAAGTAGGCACTACCGCCTTGGGAGACTTGGATGATGATGGGGGACTTGATGTCGCTTATCACGGGTGTAAGTAGGAGACTCGAATGCAAAAAGAGAGGAGTTCGAAGAGGACGCAGAAACTGAGGACCAAAATAGCCACGATCCGCCAGAACGTGGCTAACGTTGTAGAAAACCGGAAGAATCTCGGAAGCCTCTGCGAATCTTGCTACACCGTCTCCGGAATCGGTCTGTCCGACAGGGTACTCGCACAAGGTCCACGGCAAGCAATAGTGCGGGTGTACTCGTGAAGTGCACACAGGCATGGATTGCATTCGCAAAACTCTTTTGCATCCAATCTCTTGGTCTTACGTTCCCCGCCCCACAAGCCCTCCGAACCAAAAGATAGGAGTATACTCACCGGGCGGCCTCAAGGACTGCGTTCACCGTTGAAGACGACGTGCAGTTCTAAAACGCACATTCAAGGGCGACCCAACGCACTAGTTCATAGAGGCCACTCACAATTGCCTAGATAACCCCGACCCCACCGGTCAATCATATGTCTGTTTCATTATACCGTGGCTAGTACATACAGGGATGGCAAACTACACAGGAAAGCGGTGAGTACCCTTACATTCTACATTGCAGAAGCTATGACTTACGTTGTTCTGCTTAGCGTAATCGAACAACTTCCTGACGTTGTCCCCAGTCAAGACTCCGGCCTGAAAGAATACCCCCTCAGATGACGTCCCAAGGCGCAGCATACGCGTTACACTCACCGGAACGATATCGAGGACACCCATTTCTTGTTCTTAGCGGGCTTTGTGGTTATAGACGTAGGATATTGTGTACAAGAGAGCTCTCCAACGGACGTTGGGAATGGTCGGACTTAAGAGCAATCGATAGCGGAGAGCCGACGTCGCATCGTTATTTCCATTTCTGGACTCCTAACCCTAGCCTGCGGCCCGGTCTACGTCGGCCTCTGCTCATCCGGAACAGTCCAGCCTCGATATTTCACGCTCATGCTCGTGGGCAAAGCTAAATACCGGTTTCATACGAAGAAACAGGATCCAGGTCGTTACATTCGTCAAAGGGAGCGTGGCTGATACATGTGTAGTACTAGATCTATCCGGAGTGGTGCGTCTAGGGTGATCTATAATAAAAATACAGGGCTTGCGGATTTCTTCTAGATTCTATGCAGCTGATAGCGAGGCGAGGCGAGACGAGGAGAAATGACCGGCAATCCTCCTGAGCGCAGCGACTCCGTGCGGCGCGGAGTTCTCTAGCTTGATCTATCGCGTTCTACCGGGACTCAGCTCGGGTTCCCTGCACCTGCACCTTCCCGACGCTGCCCGATGGGTCACGAGTCAGCGGCTACATTCTTCCCTGAAACTTCGACCACGGCTACTCACCAAATTCGTGTTGAAGTTGGGCTTCGCGTCGGGGTCTCTCCAGCTCAGGTGACACCCGATCCATGAGAGCGGGTACTCCCGGCTGTCGGGGGCGTCGCCTGCCTTGCGCAGGTAGTAGTATCCCGCCGTGACTGCAGCAAGTGCGGAAGCACCGACAATCTGAAAAGAAAAAGTAGTCCGTAAGTCACCGTGTCCTCTGCGAACGTTAACGAAATAGACGGACCATGTTTCCCCTCGGTCTCCTCGTCAAGAGCTGCGATGGACGATTCGTATCCATGATGCCCATTTTATCGTCTATCTTTCTTGTCTAGGGTCTATGTTCTAAAAGGTACGAGGCTGAATTAAGGAACTGTCTTGTCAGCCGCTCCGCCCTGTATATACTCTCCATGGGTGAAAGTACACCACGAAATGACGTCACAGCTCCCGACTCGTGCGTTCGTGAACCCGCCGGATAGTCGCATGTCGCGTCTTCCGTGCTCCGACAACGGAGTCGGTGAGGAGGAGATTGGTCGGTAGCAGATTTCTGTGGAGGTCGGAGCGGTACTTACTCTCAGTAGGCGCCTGACGTCGGGATGAAGAGAGCAGCCAGATGCAGTAGTATCAATTACCGCACGTGTACAGGCCCACCGAGAGAAACCCGGACTATATGGCCCATATCTAAGACGAATTGATCTGCGCATGAAGCAGTGACGAATTCAACAAAGGCGCTGTATTCCACATCTGCCAGAAGTTCTATCTCCAGCTCCAGACATATAGGCGACGCGCGCACATGCTGAGCGGAGCGCAATGAGGTCGCGATTAGGGAGGGGCGGTACGGGGATATTTGTTCGCCGTGCAATAGGCGTTGACCTGAGGATCGTCCCTCTAGTTGGACTCGGCGGCGAGGCTTGGTCGCGTTATGGAAGGAACGTTCATTCATTGTTGCCCGGACGCCGTAGGTGTCAGGCTGGATCGTGGATTAGTACGTGCTGTGCGGAGTGAGAGGACAAACTAACCTCCCCGTCGTGTTCCTCGAGAAAGAACTCGGATGTGTCAAATATTGGTCGCAACCACCTCGCCAAGGTGAGCACGGCGCCGATATTGTTAAGCTCACCACCCAGAAGATTCTCAGCAACATCCTGGAGCCCAAGCAGCTTGGGCATCGGTAAAGCCGTCGCGGCGTACTATACAGGCTTTCACGCTACCAGAACATTAAACACCTACATATGGAATCGTATACTTGGTCATGAGCGGACTCAGAGAACAGATACGCGCACTGCGTACTGGTGAAAGGCGGGCTTGCGTCATCCATGGGACAGCGGTCATCGAGGAGCCCGGAAACGACACACCGGTAGCCGTCCCGTATCATGGTGATCATACAGGCATGCAGCTAAGCGTCCGTCTCTGTCTGTGGGGCCGTGCTCATCTCCTGTATCGTACTTTCCATCCTCCTATCTGCAGGAGGGGAGAAAACATCGCGTGATGGAGTGGCTACTGACCCTGTATCAGAGAGAAGTCGTTTGGGTGTTTATGCCACGGCGAGGACATCAGCACGAGCCCTTACACACTCGCAGGAGACGCCGGTGTAGCGGAGCCCAGTTGGATGCCCTTCTCGTGCGCAGCTTAAAGATCCTCAGGGTCCTCTTCGCCATAACACGAGTTTATCTCGATTACCAGCCGGCGATAGGGCTTGTATCCGAACGAGTGCCGGGGTGCAGGCTCCCAGAAATCCTTGAGGAACCAGCCCACTGAGCCCAGAACCCGGACAGCGACGAGGGAGTCCTCGTACTTGAACAAATTGCTGTGGGTCGGGTTCAAATCATACGCTTCAGCAACTAGAAGCAACCACTACGTACGAGCGCCGTGCTCGTCGAGAACGAGCGTCCTTGGGAGAGCAGTGGAGGGCATCGTTCTTCAACGACTCATAACGCCGAGTGCAATGATTGCCAGTAGTCGCTTCACGGAATGAATGTTCGGTATATGCTTGCTCGTCTTCAGTCCTGGAGGCGTCAACTGACGCAGGCCGCAAGCCGAGCGCAGAACGACTGGAGATCACACTGACATAGTACATGGTAGAGCACGTGGCGTAGGTGACGCCACCGACGCGGTTAGGGCTGAAGCGCTGAACATTAACTTTACTGCTACCAGTAATCTGGAGGTCTGCTTGCTCTCGTGCGGCTGCTATCTCTTCCAGTCGTAGACAGGGTTGTACGACTCGTCGTCGCCGTTCCCCGCGGTCTGGCCATCGGCATCCGCATACAGGGTCAATTCAGCCTGGTCAACTGATTATCGAAGGTCGGCCCGACAAAAGGACTTAGATGGCGCCGACTCGCGTTTTTGGATCGGAGGACTCTGCGCTGGTCGTCGAAGACGACGTGTCCTCTCAGAATGCGCAGACATTGCCTCGGGGACTGGGACGATTCTCATTCAGCAAGACGCTGCGGCATAGACCTAGCATTCTATCGAGGCTGAGTCTGCGGAACAGTGGCTCGGGAGTACGAGATGAGGAGACTGGGGAGGATGTGGTCACGGACAAGCCTCTCATTCCGAGCGCTCTGCAGCAGCCTGGAGAAGCGGATAGCACGCCCTTGCCCGTCCTGTCTATGATTGTATTATCCATAGTGAGTTCTAATGTATGTGAATTTTAGCGGGAAACTGAGCTCTTTATCAGACTATGCTCGGAGAGTTCCTGTCTGCGAATGTCTCTGCGCCGTTTCTATTATTCATGGTGAAAGGTACGCCCAAGCAGTGCGTGAGCAGTTCGCATACTTAATCCAAGACCAGGCTTCGGTCAGTTCACGGACGATGCAGACGCGGGGTTCTGGACTGGTATATTAGGTATGATACTTCAATGATCCCGCGTGGTAATTTCGTGAATAGTGATGATGCTTGTATACTAGCATCAACGTTCTTCTTGACTCAGTTCTTAACCTCTCTACTATGGGTGAGCATGGATGTCCAATGAGTTCACTGTATGCTAATACATCGTAGGCCACCGTCGCGGATAGACACGGTCAACGCGCCGTTTTATTCGTTTCGTTGCTCGGAACAGCTTGCACTTGCTGTTTATTCGGTACATCCACGAACCTCCAGGAAGCCATTTGTATCCGTCTCCTCCAGGGTATATTCGCCGGTGCGATAGGTGTAGCTCGCGGATGTGTCACATTTGTCACAGATCCTAGCAACGAAGGCAGGGCATATGCTATTCTGGGGTGACGAAGTCGATATATGCGCGTATTGACCTCGGCTAACGCATCATTCCTTAGCTTTTGCTGGGGTTTCGGAGGTGTAGCTGGTGCTATCATCGGAGGAAGCTGTAAGCTCACATCCTCTGTCTGATCGATCGCTGATGTCTCATGCGGTCATGGCAGTCGAGAATCCTGCGAAGAAATGGCCAGGAGTATTCAACGACATACCCATTTTTGTCCACTATCCATATTTATTACCATGTGCTGTCGCCTCATGCATCACATTCACCGGTGAGTCTTATGTTTACAGAGTGTCAAAGGCCAACAGCTTGACCGGCCAGTACACCGTGACTAGGTGCGATTTTATCGCTCTTCCTCGGGTACGACGGCGGTCCACGTGAAGGCGCTATCCGTCTCCCGCCAGAAAAGGACGCCGAGCAAAACGAAGCGATCCCCGAAGTCGACGAAGAGGGCGCGATGACACCCCCAGTGTTCGGCGAAGAGGAGCCGGAGCCGCGCACGATGGTCGGGTCCATCACACGCAACGTCGGCCGCAAGCTGTCGGGCTACTTCGCGAAACGCGTGCACGACGCCCACGCGAGTGAGACGCCGCCCCTCCGGCGCGAGGAATCCGTTCCGCTGCTGTCGGAGTCCCAGCAGCGGACGACGAAGCCGCGGCAGCTCTCGCGGGCGAGTAGGGTCGATGGGTCCGCCTACGGGTACGGCACCGGGTACCGGCACCGCCTGGCCAACTCTATGTCCATGGGCGCGCGCAGAGAGAGCACGGCGAGCGCTGTGCGGAGGAGGCTGTACAGCACTGTGGATCCTACCCGGGCATCGGTGGCGGACAGCGAGCTGAACTTTGCGCAGCGGATCCTCCTGGCGAACGAGAACGCCGTCACGAATATTGCTGACCTGTGGGTTGCCGCCGCAATGAACGTGGATAATGAAGAGGTATTCGAGTCCGACGACGAGGGATCAGATGTTGGGGACACGGAGACTGCCCATGGTGCGGAGGCGACTGAGACGGGGGCAAGACCTGAGACGTCAACTTCGACGCCATCGACTCCTAGCCGGCGCGGTAGAAGGCAGTCAAGGAGCGGGTCCAACGTCGGAGGACCAAGGCCGTCTGCTAACAGACGTGTATCTGGTGCTGGGATCCGACCCCATCTGTCCCCCCGGCGTTCTTCAGATTCTAGGAGCCGCTACTTCACTCCGACTCGTCAGACTCTGGGCGCACTCAGTGGTCAGTTGGAAGACATGCCTTCTCCGGGAGGGCGCCGATACTCGAACGTCCCCACGATCTTCTCGCACACGGGTGTGAGGACGCCCTCGGCCGTCCTCGATGCTCAGTCGTTGCTCTCGCCTCAGGAAGAGGCGGGAGCTGCGGACGGGCTTGCGCCCATCATGGAGTCGCGCCGCGCATCTGTTGCTCACGTGGAGGCGCAGGTTGAGCCACAGCAGTCGCTGTTCTGGCAGCTTCCGTTGATTATAATCGTCCAATATGGATTGTTGGCGTTGCATTCTACGACGCATGACCAAGTCTTTTATCTCTACTTAGTGACGTGAGGGCTGTGAGCTGTGTCGTTTGGTTTGTTATTGACGTTGTTTCAGTGATTACGAAGGGGGAGGACTCAACCTCAACGCAACGCACTTCTCTCAGCTCAGTGAGTGAATATATGCGCATATACTCAAGCCCCAATTGACAGTGCTATAGTTGCCCTTATGTGTCTTGCTCAAATTGCGTATCAGTTCTACCTGTATCCGTAAGTTCATCGCACGCGACCAGGCAAGCCTGCAGCTAACCACGACTCTTCTGGGACAGAAATATTGGGTGAGTATGCGTTGGGTGTCGGCGTGCCCTTAGATCTAATATCCATCTCTCGTAGCCCTCCGCGAGGGCGCTTCTCGCACTTAGCAATGTTCAGGATTGGATCCCTCTTATATATCCCCGCATACCTCAGCGTTATCTTATATCGAGTACCTTTCGCGAGTGCGACGGACGATGGCAATTTTGTTTTAATGGCCGGTAAGTCGCCTCGCGTTTATGTGTGTGGGAGGTGTGATATTAACCCTTTTCTCCAGCTCTGGCCTTTAGCACGTACGTGAACCCTCGTTTAGACCCAGCGCGTTTGCTCAGTTTAGTTGCTTTCCAAGTGCCCTACGATTCTGTGGAATCACGTTCTCTTATACGGCGGTGGCGATTTTGCTCAACTACAGTTCGTCTCTCTTCCTATTGTATTATGCGGACTGAGTCTAACTCCGCTTGTAGTGTCTCCTCCCCACGTTGTCGGCCTCGCAAATGGCATTGCTCAAAGTATCGTGTCTCTAGCACGGTTTATAGGTCCCATTCTTGGTGGCGTGGTACGTACTGCCGCCTCTCCCTCATTGACGCCGCTCACGCTTCACCGTTCTCCAGCTGTGGTCCACCAGTGTTGCAAAAGACCCGTCAGGATACCCGCTCGGGTTCTTCGTCTGCGCGGGCATATGTGCCCTCGCAGTCGCTCATACATTCTTTATTCGATAATTACTTCTCATATCAGTTGCTCTCACACGATATACCATCTTTCAACGCTTGATAGCTATGTCACGTCCTCTCTTGTCTCGTTCTTTTTGTACCTTCGGAATCGTTACTGCAGATGCCGTCTTTGTAATACCTAGACTCGGCGTATATTACCCAGCCGAACGGACATCTTGGAAATGCCAGTCAATTGATCTGTATCGCTTGGGCCTTCGAGTCCGTATTTTTGTATCGCTAGGGTTGATGATGATAACTAACTCTGAGCCTGCCTGGCTGAATGAAAAGAGTCCATTGGATTACTACGACAAGTATGAAAAGATAATACATTGTCCCTTCCAGATAGAACCTACAATGTCCCTCTCCTATAGATCACCGCTAGTAGATACATAACGAGCCTGCTCAGCAGCTTCTCATAATGACACATCTCTGCACCCACTCCGCGATCCCATTCCACACCTTCTGCCGCTCTTTTTCATCCCACCATTTGAGGATCAAGCAGTCGTGCACGGCGTCTTTTACGATATGCAACTTCACATCGACGCCATCGTGCTGCATCGCCCTATCAGAGACAAGTTAATCAGCGTGAGCCTATACCGTATGGAAATCATATAGCGTACCTGACAAGCAACCCAACCTCTCTCTCTAGCCGTTCCGCGTCGCCCATCATCACGAAGCACGGCGGGAAGTCGCGGAACAGCGACGTCCGGTGCGCAGGATTGACAGGCGCGGGGTTGAGATACAGCTGCGTGATGTCCTCCGCGAGCGGTGGGCCCGGGATGCCCTGCGCACCAGCGGCAAGCGGCTCCTCGGGCGCCTCCATCACCAAACTCAAATGACCGCTCGGCGCGCGTCCGTCCCGTTGCACGCCAACGCCCGACGTGACGCTCGTGATTCCCGACCGCCCACTCGACCCCGAGACAGCACCCGAGGCAAGGGAGTTCGCCTCATTCACATGGTATTGGCAGTCGGACTGGCCGGTCTCGCTGAGCGTGGTGTTGCCCGCATGCGTCGGGAGGGGCACGCTGGTCATCATGCCGATGTTGCCCTCCGCGGCCTCCATGGCTTGCAGCTGCAGCGGGCCGTACTGCCCGCCCTCGCCGTCCCACTCCACCGAATGCCCGTACGCGCGCAGAACGCGCGGCGAGGCGGGGGAGATGTAAGGCGAGTGGATCGTCTCGATTGGGTGGTGGCCTGGTGGAGGCGCGGAGTGAGTAGTTGGGGGTGGTGAGAGGAGGTGGAGACACACCTAGGAAGGTTTTCTGGAGAAGGGCGCGGGGTTCTGGGGTGTCTACGAGGTAGTCGGTGCATGAGTGTGGGCGTGGGATATAGGAAGAAGGTGCGATGGGGAATGCGTGGGCTAAAATTGTCCAGGTGTCAGCGCCGATGATGCGTTGTGACAGCGCGCATTACTCACAGGGATCGCAGGAAGGCTAGTTGATGAAAAGCATCCGTGAGTTCACCATACCTGATACAGCACAGTAGGCATCGTATATCACTTACCGATAACAGCAGCATCCCGTCCGGCATCGGCAATATACCTTCATCCCTGATCCACCTCGCAAGGCCAAGAATCAAATTTCCTCCGGCCGAGTCACCGATGAGGACGACCCTCGGCCTGCGGAATTCTGCATGGGCTGGGGCGGATGACGGAATGGACAGATTAGGAGACGAGTTGGGTGAGAGCTGGGTTGCGGTGCCAGGGTACCGGTAGATGCCGTCGATGTCCTTGGCGGCACCTAAGACATTCATGACGACGTGCGCGTAGACGGCCGCTGCGTCTTGGATTGCGCCCGGAACGGGAGCGTATTGGAGGAGCCTGTACTCCACCGCTGCGAGTGGTGCTTAGGGCCAGCATGTTACCCGTATGCGAGATTTATCTTACCATATATCTCAGTGAAGACCTTATCCTGGGATGAGGTGAGATCAGGCCGTCAGTGTCCTTCAGCGTAAGACGTACCTGGATCAAGCGCCGGGGGATCCGTGACGTTCCAGAAGACTCGTGAGCAGACATGTGGCAGAACCCGCCGCCATGCAAGAATATTCCAACGACGGGAGGGGGAGTAGAGGTAACCGTAGTTGCGGCTGATGTCGTGCTGATGATAGAGCGCAGGTCGACGCCCGAACGGTTAGGGTCAGGAGACTCGTACGGGGCCACTTCCACCTTGATTCGAGGACCTTTACCGTTGGACTTGTACTTCTCAGACGAGCTTGCAGAACGACGAGACTTCGTGCTCAAAGGAGTAGGCTCCTTCGGCCAGACGAAGCATCCCACCCTCTTGCACTTGACCTTCTCGTCCCTCACGATCCCCGTCTGTAGCTCCAGAGGCAAGGGCTCGACCCATTCAAACCGCGTCTCCTTCAGCTTTCCCGTCTCCTCGCTCTCAGGATTCCGCGTGCCCCAGGTCACGCCAGCGACCTCAGTGACCTTGTGTACCCGCTTCATAAACTTGACACATATGATCATGCGTATCGACCACGACGGCCGCGGCCGATACGACCTCGGCATAATGAGGTAGTATAAGGCCCATAGCGGAACGAGCAGCAGGGTCGTGAAGAGCCGCTGCACGACATAGATGGCCTTCCAGGGCTCGCGGGCCCAGGGCATGTCCTCTTGGAAGTCGTAGACGGGGGTATCATCGTATAAGCAGCCCATCGTGTGGCAGAAAATAAATTAACAGAAGGCGGGCCAGTCAGTCAGACATATATAGCGGTGGACATACAGTAGTGCAGCTTCGAGGCTGTTCCCCCAAGACTTATCGAGGGCGAGAGACTCCAGACCGTGCGACCAGCCACAGGTGGCGTTGCGGCGACTATTGCTCCCGGGCCTCGCGTCATAATCTCCCGCGATTTTGCCGAGACACCCCTTTATGGTAAACCACCTTCCTTTTCGAGGTTACTAAGAACGCGACCAAGGACGGGAGCACGCAAGCAGGCTGCATGGCTCGTTTGAGGTGTTATGGCACTCAAGGGGGGTTAGGGCTTTGTGGTTAAAGGCCCGCTATTTTTGCATCCCATTGAAGCCTACAAAGGGATATTTTCAGCGCATGTCGGAACCCCTGGGTAAATGGGAGTACTTGACATCAGCTGTCGTTGCTGTTTATCGTAAGACAGACCGCTAAGGAGAGCTCCTGTACGTACTGATCCCGTCTTTGCTCCGATATCAAGCGGATCATTGCCATCGCCCTGCGATCCTGCAACTTCCAAAAAGCGCCGCACGCGAAGAAGGATTCTCGGCGGGTGGACGGATATCAGAAGTCGCAAGCTAGCTTCCGGGTATCCAGTAAAATGCGTGGAGAGCTCACCGCAATGGAAGCTTCTATGCGATAAGTGGGTGCTCAAGTGACCGAGATGGACGGGAAATTAGGCATACAATCCCAAGTTCTTGCCATGATCGTACGAGAATCAATTACTGCAATCCCACGAGGTGCGTCGAGCACTCATATCTGCGGGGTAGAAGCGACTCATTATAGCAGGTATTCCGCCACACCTGAGGCGGACCGTGAAGTACTCATCTCAAGGTCACATAATAAAACTCCACAAAATGATTTCGGGGATGCTTCCAGTCGGTTCGAGCACCATTACTTGGACGTAGTTGGGAAGATGGGATAAAATTGTCGGTCTGCCTACCGTCGGACCCTATGCTACTTACCGAAGCTGCGGTGAGAAGCCAGGGTGTTCAACTTGCCGCGAAAGCTGGACAGAGGCGGAGAAAAGGACCTTACTGTAGCTCATGGCACAGACCGCGGATTTGTGTGTCCATCGGTACCTTGATCCTCTGGAGGTCTATGGATGTTTACAACGTGTCATGCCGCCTACAAAGCAGTTGAGTAATTCACAAGACAGCGATATGACATCCACAGCCGCTAGCCGCTAGCCGCGACTGCAACCACTGTGGATGGAAAGTACTGATACACGCAGATTACACTGCTGTTCGCTCTTCTGCATGTTGAGGGAATCACTCTGACTCGGACCGCTCACGAGTACTTCGCTGGAGAGTAATAGAAATCCCTGCCATGCCATGCGTGAGCTCGAGATGCAAGAAATTCAGCCCGCAGGAAACATACCTATAGCCCCGGATGGACCTGACGGGGAGATACGAAAAAGCCACCAGAGGAATGACTCTATGCTTCTTCGCGTGGAGGGTTTGAGTCATATATATGCTCTATCCGGGACCGAATGGTCCCTGCTACTTCTGAGGGAGTCCCTTAGTAGTTTTTCGATTGTCAGGGTGCTTACCAGAGAATATTTCATGACAGCCTGGCCTCGGTCGCGTTAGAACGGACAGAAAAATGGGTGCAGGGTTGAATTTTCGTGTAAGTGTACTATACAAGGCAATCTGAACACCCACTGTTCGATATATGCATGGGGGAACATCCGGCTGATCCCTCTGAATCGAGCTCCCTCCCGGGGTTCCATTATTCCCCGCATTCAGCATAGCTTCGAACTTGAATATCAAGCGCTACATAGAGGTGCCCCGATGCGGATAGAATCATATTCGTGGCGTATCTGACCTGCCTCTGTCCTTTGGTTTAATGTAGACGTCTTAAAATCCTAGATGTTATTAGTATAGAGGCTGCAGCTGCAGCCCCAGACTTTCAATGCGGCTTTTGCCGGGCCTCTTCAATATTCGAAGTCCGATGAGCGTGCATCGACTTCGTACTAACTTGTCGCACTCAACATCGTACTCAATACCTCGCCTCGCCGACAGCGACGACGACAACGAATATTCACCTATCAGAACAATCAGCTTGTCGTGCACGGCCTTACTGAACACCGCAGACAATAAGCGACTTGCTCACTGCCCACCAGAAGCAATCTCCCCGACCACCTCATCGCAACGCGACCCATACTCTGGATTTTCACTACCGAACCGCCCGTAGCTGCCTTATATACTCCTAGAATATTGTAAAATGGCGCAACAATCCCGTCCATCATCATCTGCATCGTGAGCGAATTCACCTACTACACTATGTCTTGTCGTTGACCATATTACGTAGCCCCGCCTCCTCAGCAAACGACTGGAAAGCCGGCCTCCGCCCGCCACCAAAAGACGCCCGCCCCCAAACCGAAGATGTGACAGCCACGAAAGGGCTCGAATTCGAAGACATGTACCTGCGGCGCGAGTTGCTCATGGGCATCTTCGAAGCGGGATTCGAACGGCCCTCACCCATTCAAGAAGAAGCCATCCCTGTCGCCCTCACCAAACGCGACGTCCTCGCGCGCGCGAAGAACGGGACGGGTAAGACCGCCGCGTTCGTCATCCCCGCCCTCCAGCAAATCGACGTCAACAAGAACAAGATCCAGGCACTCCTGCTTGTGCCCACGCGAGAGCTGGCGCTACAGACGAGCCAGGTGTGCAAGATCCTGGGAAAGCACATGGGCGTGCAGGTGATGGTGACCACTGGGGGTACGACGCTGAAGGATGACATTATGCGGTTGTCAGAAACCGTGCACGTGCTGGTTGGTACGCCTGGGCGGGTGCTTGATTTGACGGGGAAGAATGTGGCAGACTTGAGCGAATGTCCTGTATTTGTTATGGACGAAGCCGACAAGCTGCTGTCGCCGGAGTTCACGCCTGTCGTGGAGCAGCTGCTGTCGTACATGCCAAAAGAGCGCCAAGTGATGCTCTTCAGTGCGACGTTCCCATTGATTGTCAAGGATTTCAAGGTAAATAGTGTTGCCATGGTTTTTCATGCAGTAGATTAACATCTTCGTCCAGGATAAACACATGTCGTCTCCATATGAAATCAACCTAATGGACGAATTAACTCTCCGGGGTGTAACCCAATATTATGCCTTTGTCGAGGAGCGGCAGAAGGTTCACTGTCTCAATACCCTCTTCTCCAAGGTACGAGCGTCGCCTACGTCTTTCAAACATTTCGGTGACCTTGCCTTAGCTCCAAATCAACCAATCTATTATCTTCTGTAATTCCACGAACCGCGTCGAGCTCCTGGCCAAGAAGATCACCGAGCTGGGCTACTCATGTTTCTACTCGCACGCAAAGATGCTGCAGTCGCACCGCAACCGCGTCTTCCACGACTTCCGCAACGGCGTGTGCCGCAACCTTGTCTGCTCGGACCTCCTCACGCGCGGTATCGATATCCAGGCGGTCAACGTCGTCATCAACTTCGACTTCCCCAAGAATTCCGAGACGTACCTGCACAGAATCGGTCGGTCGGGGCGGTTCGGCCACCTGGGTCTCGCCATAAACCTTGTGACGTATGAGGACCGGTTCAATCTGTATAAGATTGAACAGGAGCTGGGAACGGAGATTCAGCCTATACCCTCGACTATCGACAAGAGACTCTATGTCGCCCCTGGAGCTGCTGAGGAGCAGCAGAAGGAGAAGGCGAGTACTGCGAATGGGCAGCAGCAGCCGAGACCACAGCAACACCAACAGGGACCTGCAAGACCGCCTCAGCAAGCACCTAATCAGGTCTTGTACCAGAGCGGTGCGCCTCCACAACAGCAAGTCAGGCCCAACGGAACCTCGCTGGGTCAGCCCCAGCACATAATGCAGCAGAGAGCGTACCCTGGCGGGCAGGTACCGGTTCCCACTGGCTACCGTGGAGGTGTCGCAGTTCCTCGCTGAGGACCGTCGGTCGTCGCTCGAGGCCCACGATCGTGGAAGTGGGAGGGAGGGAGAGGAATGCTAATCGAACGTCGCAAATTGACTCGGAGTGTCGTCGCTTCAGGCAAGGGTCTTGTTTCATATCTATTTCATTGTTTGTTTCCTCCCAATGTCCCCTCTTCGCCCTTTCGTCTGTGTTTTCTACCTGCTGCAGTCCATCTTTGGCTGATTCCCGTCAACTCTGCGATGTAGCATACAATCTCCCTCTTCTCTCTTTTGACCCTTTCTGATGTGGCGGGCGTTTCGTGCCAGGCGCGATGGTTTGATTGGTAGTGTGGTTAGAGCGGATCAGCGTACTGGCGTCCTCCTCCTGTAGTGTCGAATTGTACAGTACATTGACACTACACAGTACGCTGCTCTGCCTTCAGTCTGACTCGCAGCTTCGAGTGACATCTGCCATCTGTTTGCGATGGCAAATCATGCAGTGACGCGTAATATCGCAGAACGTAGCCTCTTTCCGTCTCCCAAACTCGTCTTCAGTGTCTGGGACGTCTTCGCCTAGCTGCACAAAATTCCTTCATGTTATAGCTCCAGACGACCGCGGAAGCAACTCACAGCACGAAGTCCGGACTTCGCGAGGAATTTGTAACGGAAATATGTCTCGACCCGACCTCCATCTCCCAATGTACGAGTTCTCCCCGTCGTCTGCTCGCCGACGCTCACCTGTTTCTCCGTCTGTTGATTGGCCGTCGCGGTCGCCATCTCCTCCCCGTGTGCATGGTCCCAGGTGGTCGCGCTCGAGCCGCGGACCAGTGAGACTGAAGTCACTTCTACGCGTCCGCCCGCTGTGGTTGATAGTGGTCGTGGCCGTGGCTGCTCTGTTCGTACTATTCGGGCTTACAGTCTACCAGCCCTACATCGAAATCCAGTTCCACTCGCGCGAATGGATACGGCAGCATATCACGCCGGAGACGGAGGGTGCGTGGTGGTCCAGCGAGAGTTCCACCCCGTCATGGTACGAACTCTCCAAGGGCGCCCCTCCGACGTGCTTCACGTCCGCGCTCTCGCCATCTTACAACTTGACGGAGAGCCTGTACGGTAAGCGGCGGTGGGAGGTGCAGAGCGGGGTCGGGATGAAGCTCGGTCGGGATTGCTACGAGTTTGCGGGGACGATTGGGAGGGGAGGGTTGGGCCTGGGGCCGACGGACGGGTATCTCGAGGCTCGGGAGCGCAAGATCTATCATACATACTGGCGGACGGACCTCTCACCCTTTAGCGACCGTCAAGCTCACATGCTCCGTTCCTTCTTCGCGACGCAGCCCCGCTCCACGTCCAAGCTCATTCTATGGTCCAACGGTGACCTGCTCCCGAACCCCATACTCTCGAACTTCCTGTCGCGATACCCCGAGTCGTTTGAGCTACGTGTGGTGGATATCCCGGAGCTGGCCAAGGGCACGGCTTTGGAGGGGACGAGCTACGTAAATGGGGCTGGCGTGAATGATAAAAAGGCTTGGATAGACGGTGACTTGATCCGTCTGCTCGTGGTGTGGAACGAGGGCGGAATATGGGTTGACATGGATATGCTTTTAACGAGGAGCCTCGATCCCCTTTGGGAGCACGAGTTTGTTACGCAGTGGGATTGTTACGGTAGGTGTTTCACTCTTTCTAGCAAAAGGGCTGCGCTAACAGTTCCGAAGACAAGCCCCTCCAGCCATTCAACGGTGCTTTACTGTCCTTCCATAAGCACTCACCCTATCTATGTCTCATGTTCGAGATAATGAAGCTATCCCCTGCACCGAGACCTGCGTCCACGGACTGGGGTTCACTGCTTTACCTGAAGGTGCGCTTAGATACTCCGGCCAGTCTTGCTGTTCTAACCTTTTCCAAGACGTACCGGACCCTCCTTCACCTCTCCATCCCACCTTTCCGCATCCTCCCCTGGTGTTTCATTGATGGCGGGTCGTGCAGATTGGACAATCGCCTACCAGACCCGTTCGTGCTCGATCGAGATGGCCGCACGGACCCTGCGCGTAGGTGGTCGACCGAGTCTGGCGGGGACCTCGATAAAGTGCTCGGCATGGTGTTTGGCGTGCACCTGCATAACCGGTGGGAAAAGGAGTTCCCCAGGGACGGGTGGGTGGACAGGTTGATCCTGAAAAAGTTTGATCGGGTGCTGGGGAGGAGAGACTCAGGGAGGGAGGAGTTATGAGAGGCACGGCGCGTGTATGGGTGCTTGCTTACGCTTTAGACTAATATTGTATGGTACGTCTTCATGATAAATTATTGATACCCCGGGATCGTCATGCGCACGTCTGGTGGTGTTGAGGCATTCCACTGTTGCAGGTAGTCCACAGGTGCCTCCAGACTCTGATCAATTCTACTCCACAAGTGCCTGGGCTTACCCGCCCAAAGGATCCCAGTGGCACATTCGTCTGCAGGTATTTCATGATATTTCTGAGACGACCTTTGCGCTGGTCAAGCCAGTAGTCATCCGCGGTCCGCGGAATGCTGAGATTTGATTCCGAGCTTACGCTTGATCCGACGCACAGCCACTTTGGCTTCAGAATCGACAGAAGATCGCATCGATATAATAGTGATCTCGATAAAGTTTGAAAGTGAGTGGAAGCAACCACGCAAAACGAGACATCCTCTGCAACCAACATACAGGAAAATCCGAAGTCATACTTTAGAACAAATGATGTGCACCAAGTTACCGTTCGCGTAGTCTCCCACCATTTTCTCAATCTTCAAACCGGCTTGTCTCATGAGCTCGGCGTACTGAGCGCCCGACCGTTGTTGCTAGAGACAAGCGATATGTGATTGGCACGGGGTGGGGGATACGATATGCTACTCACGGCATTGAAGGTCCCCATCATGATTATATCTGTGACGTAGGCTGTCCTGCTCGCCATCCCATAGTTCGCGAGCAAGGGCTCTGGCGCGGGCTCGAATGACCACGAGGAAGACTGTTCACGGCATGCGGGGAGCATGACATGGCCTATAATCACGATGCGGCTGCTCTCGTCCGCTGCCTCTGCCATTTGTTTCAGTATTTGAACGGCTTCTTTATCTGGCCAGTTGTGGCTGGATACGGTCAGAAAACGGCGGAAAGCGGTATGGCAGGGACACTCACATAGTTTGACGACAGAAGTACACTGCGGCACCGTTAACGGCATTCGGTTGGAAGAAATCGTAGGATTGGAATTCTACCCTGCCACTAGAGACAGCTTCAGGTAAATTCGTCTTCCAGTACTGAGCGTGCCGGAGACTCAGCAAGGATCTGCCATTGAGGCTAGGTACACTCACATCCTTTGCCTGCTCAATAGTAGCCGGGAGGTCTTCCACTATGACACGCAAATGGGGATGAGCTCTAGCGACGATGAGGCTGTGGGTCCCAACGCCGGCGGCTACGTCGACAACGACGCTTCCCGCCGGTAGATTCTTCCATCCAATATCCTCTAAAAGCGATGTAGGCTGTTACTCCTCCAGTCATTGAGGATCTTTCCGTCTCTCACCGTGCAGAATAAATTCAGGTACATTGTACATCTCCACTCCGACCATGGCATTGTTGAAGATGGATCGATACTTGGACTGTTCCGGCTGCATGAGCCAATCGAACATGCCGAGCTTCTGTCCAGTGACACGGGTGACAGCAGCGTTGTCTACTGAAGTGGAGTCAGCCGTGTGTGGGTCCAATATTGTCTCCGGTAGCTTGGCTGCAATGTTAAACTGGAATTCGGTGCTGCAAGGAGAAAAGCCAAAAGTTAGAGGCGGGGCATGTGCACAGGAGGGAACGGCCTTTAGACTTGCATGTAATAGCAGATAGCAGCACGCCCGTTTGTGCCCTCGAACCACTCGTGAGGCCTGGAGTAGAGGTCACTCAAGGATGAAAGTCAAATAAGCGGGTGTCAATCACTCTTGGGATCGAAGTATTTCGGCATCCTTCCCCGTGTCAATCTGAACACTGAGCCTGTAGAAAAGGAGGTAACAATCGCTTCAACAAATGCAGCCCGAAAGCTAAGTCACCTATTGTTGGCAAAGACATCCGGAGCCACCTCACGGAAAATATAATGCGAGGCAAGCATACGAAGGCAGCGGGCTATTAAGCATCAACCGGTCTGTCGGTATCCATAATTAGAGTGACAGGTCTGATATCTCCTCACCTAGTTTCTCCGGCTGTATAGGGCTAAACTTTGCGATATCCCGGACGTGAAGCCCCTTGTCACCTGCTGACCGCAGAGCTTCCGCAGCATGTGTCCGTATGGCCACATTCAGGCATGCAGATAGATGGTGCTAGCAGAGTGAATACAGAATCTAGTCAGATATTCTGTGTCCTGATGGATATGAAGAAAACCATACCGCGCTCGCAGAGTGGAAGATTTGGGTTGTCTGAGGCTGGACTGTATGCTGGAGCTGCGTACATGCCGCTGTAAGTGCGGCGGTCGCCTTGAGCACGTCGGGCTCGAAAGCGACCTCTGGCAGTCTCGGGTCAGTGCTTTCCAGAGACGGCAGAGGCTCGGAGCGAGCATTGTAAGCCTGCTCGATTTTGTCAACGCTCTCCGAGATGAGATTGACCAACTGTCGCAGGTGGGTGGTAGGACTGGCCATGGTAACTAGTTATCGAGTTCGAGCTATCAGATCCTCCACTTTATAATGACACATGGGGCATCGCGCAAGCATGCTGAGCCTATCGCCTCGACACGCATACAGGCACCTAAGCATGATACAGCGGGCACTGTAAATGAATCTGTGCTCTGGATGTGGCACCTATATGAACCTCCGCCGCATTCCCTGAAAAGGCGTTCAGCAACGTGACCAAGAAAGGCGAGAAGCGCAGCTATCTCACCATCAGAGCTTCCTTGAACTCGCTGCCGAGGGTTCTCACGCGTTTATAGGGTTCTTGCAGATCACGTACATACAAGCCCGCGGACATGAGCAGCCATACCCTCACATGCGTGTTCGCCATTGGCATCTCATCCGATGGTCAAGGCTTTCATTAATAACACAACTATGACACAGTAAGCAAGGACGACAACCTCACTCAGTACTCACGCGCTTGACAGACGATCACATCCGGAGAAACGGCAACAGCACCAAATACGGCATCCTATGAAAAACAAGTAGAGACTTTACAGGGGTGAATGGCAACCTCAACCCGACACGGGCTCGCTCGGCGTCGGGACTATCGGTTGCCGTTGTAGTAGCACTTCCTCCTGCTCGTTTCCGTTGTAGAGCACTCGGGTAGCCATATCCCCAGAGATAGTTGGTCGTCTGACCAGGCGGTCAGATTCCGCACGCCTCCATCATAGATTTCCGGACCTCATCTATCCCGAACCGTTCTCGCGCGGCCGCGGCGGTGACAATTGGTGGCAGACACGTCGGCGCCGCCTTCCAGACGTCCTCCCTAATCTTCGACAATCCAGCCCGGAGCTGCTTCGTCGGGAGGGAATCAACCTTGGTCACAACGGCCTGGAAAGTCCACCGTGTCCCACCCATGCTGAGGCACCTCTCGTGCAGGTCGGCTAGCACAAATGAGTCTGCCTCTTCCACGCCGTGTTTAGCGTTGATAAGGACATAGATCCTGCGGAGCCTGTAGTAGTATGCACATTAGGAAGTCTGGTGGTTGCAGAGGACACGGATTGGGCCAGCTTACTGGGAACGGTTTTGTATGTAATGATCCCAAATTTCCCCCCACTCTGGACGCCCCCGTGTGCCATACCCTGGCGCGTCCACGAGTACAAGCTTTCCTGGTCCCGGCCCCACACGATAGAAATTCAGGGATCGGGTGTGTCCCTGAGCTTATCTTCAGAGTCAAGGCAATAATCAACGAAGAACATTTCTCACAGCCTTTTTACTGGTATGGACGAGGTCTTTCCTCCCCATGACAGCATTTAACAGAGTAGATTTGCCGACATTGGCACGTCCTAGTCCGTTCTGGGTTTACATTTCCCCGAACGATGCTGAAACTACTCACCAGTTACCGCTATCTGTACCGCCCCGTTAATGGGGATGTTGGTGACCCTGGCAGAAACGCTCACCTCCGGTAACCCGTGCAGGGGCGGTATCTGAGCTACCAAGTAGGCAGAGCCGACAATGTCCGCATTCTGGTGGGCAAAAACATCTCCAAGTGTCGCCAGAGTTCTATGTCCGCATCGTATCCCCGAGAGGTCGGTTTTGAGACTGACGGCCCTTAGCATGCATGCATACGCTTGGACGCAGGTCCGAATGCCAACTCGATGAAATCGCGCGACAATGTTTGGGTATGTTAGGTTCCCAAGGCTTTGACAAATAAGGGCAAAATAAGGGCAAACTCCTCTCTATCTTTCTGTAGCCAATCAGAGAATTCTCTTGTCTCTGTAGTTCGTCTGCATGATTCCCGCGTATCGTATCGACTCAACCATACGATAGACGGCATAATATCTCTGGATCTGACCGAGCTCTTCCTCAATGCGTTTTTAATTCAGAATCCGCTCAGGACGAGACCTACAGCACGCATTCATCTCCGACAAGCCGACTGTAATCGTAGACCTATCCCCGCAGGTATTCAGATGGTAGTACAGCAGCTAAGACACAAATGTAGTTTCCAGTACGCGGGGCGGACATTCCTATTAGAGGCTGTAGCGTAGTGGAAAGATGGCGAGAGGCGGAAGCCTGCATACCCTCAACCAATCTGATTTTGTCACAAATCTGGCATCCGGCGCACTTCCTTTCCTTCGTTCTTTGCATGCTTTCTTAGTTTCTCGAGGATCGTGCTATTTTGCCACCGCGGAGGGGGAGTTCGTTTCTCGGTAGACCAGTAGTAGATATCCCAGTCAGGCTCGTCAAGCAGCTATGTAAGCGACGACGCTTAACACTTGCAAGGGTGGAGAGAAAAAATCGATAGACGTACTTTATCGAACTCGCGCAACTCCTCGACGCTCATCGCATCCAGCGTCTGCCTCGTCGCGAACGTGCTAAGAAGCAGATCCGTCTCTAGCGTCCCCCGCTTTCTCACCTGGTACAGCAAGCGGCTGCGCGTCTTCTCCGGAGTCTCCCCTGGTCGTGGTATAGGAGGGAATTCAGAGAGAACTGGCGACTCGGCGGCATCTTCTGGGGGAGCGGTTTGCTTGATGTGCTCGGGGGTGTTCGGCAGGACCCAGGGGTCGGCACGGCACGGAATGGACGTGAACAGCGATCTTGCTCCTAGTCGTGCGGAGGTTTTGCGAATAACAGGAAAGAGAGATTGCAACATTACTGTGGAAGGATTGCCTGAGTCTGACGGCTGGTGCGGTGGCGGCTTTGCAATCAGGGTATGTGCCGACTACATGCCGAACCCTAACCTTGGCCTCAACTTCTCTCAAAACACTGACATGGCGTCCGCAAAAGGCAGCATCGTCGGGAAAGACTTATGTGGCGAAACATACCACAAATCCGTGCTTACTGTATTAGCGAGCGCGTGGTTCGTGTACTGCGATACCTTTTCCCAATCCGAATCGTTTAAACCCACGGAATCGGCCATGGAAGGCGGCCGACTTGCGGGAAGCTTTATGATTCTTACTTCGCCATGATGCACCTTCAGATATATGTCATAATTCCCTCGAGAACCACGCATGCCGCAACAGTCCGTGGCGCCGCGGCCCAGTAAGTAACTTCTTCTGACAAAACGCTTTCTGCCCACTTTACATTGCCATCCGCTGTTATAGTGATTAAGCGCTCTATTCGAGTATAAATATCCCAGCGAGTCAATCTCATGACTAGCATCCTCAAGTCCTACGAAGAAAGAAACTGAACTATACCATGTCTGCGCCTAACACCGAAGCGTATCTCGCCCCCCTTGACGCCTCCAAGTCCTCCATCACCATTGGCATCGTAGGAGGCGGCATCGGCGGTGTAGTTACAGCCATAGCTCTAGGCAGGATTGGATATACCATCCACCTCTTTGAGCAAGCCCCGAAGTGCGTCAATTATGCGACTCCTTTGTTATTGGGAGATTAACATCCTCTGTAGGTTCGCAGAAATCGGCGCTGGCATAGCGTTGGGTCCCAAGTACGTTCCAGTACTTCTACTGGTGGCGCACTCTTCCTCATCCCGGAGCACTGATAAAACTTTGGGAAGTTCATTGCAAGCCCTCGAACGCCTTTCAAGTGATCTCAGCACGCCCATTCTTGCTAACTACGAGTCGGTCGCCACAATCGAGGAACATAACGGCCTGTGGTTCCGATTCACAAAGTGGGATACCCAGGAAGAGATTACGGAGGTGCGTCTATATCCTTAAATTTGCAGCGGACCTTGCTTTGTTGAGTGCGACATGACAGGTCAGGACCACTGGCAAGAACAGCTCTGTGCATCGGTACGTGTCTCCGTAAATAGTCAGCCTTCATATATGGGTAATAGTAGGTGATATGATCTAGAGCTCGTTTCTTGGAGTCACTTCTACCGCTCCTTCCTAAGACAGTGACCACCCACTTTGCTAGTAGAGTCAATAAGGTACTTGGCTGCTGAAGCTCTCACCTCATTTCGCTTCCTCACATTCTATTTTCATTCTTTAGGTCGAAAATCTCCCGGGTAACAAGGTCCTCATCCACACGACTCCGCCTCACCAGCCTCATCCGGACTACCCCTCCGAGACAACCGAATCTGGACGCACCTTCGAGGTTGACGTCTGTATCGGATGCGATGGTGTAAAGAGTGCCGTCAGAGGCAGTATTGGCCTCAGTCAGTTCTCTGCTCTATTCATTACTTTCATTATCCAGGTCTAACGTATGGTTACGACGTGACAACGCGAGTAGACGCAGTCGTCAGGTATACAGGTGCGCTTGACCCACTGGATCAGCATTATTGGACGAAAGGTATTGAGAATGGGCATTAGGGACGTATGCGTACCGCGGCCTATTGCCTCTTGATAAGGCTATTGAGAGGACGGGCGAAAGGGTCCGTGTGCCGAGGATGTGGCTTGGGCCGCAAAAGGTCAACCTATTCGCGCGAACCCCTCCCCCCCCCCCCGGCTCCCGTACTGTACTTCCCTGATAGATACTGATATCCCGTCTCCACAGCACATCTTGACCTTCCCGATCGAACAGGGCACCATCCTCAACCTGGTCGCCTTCGTATCTGACCGCACCGCCCCCGAGGACCAGCGCGTATGGAATTCGTGGGTCTCCCTGTTTTTTCTTCTATCTCATTATTGTTTTTCTGAACATTGAATCCTTTGCCTTGCAATAACGTAGCGGACCCTGGGTCGTACCCGTGACTAAGGACCAAATGAAGGCTGACTTCGCCGGATGGGACAAGGATGTCCTGGACTATCTAGACGTACGTCTCCCTTGCCTATGATGACTACAGACGACCAAAGATCCTGTCCGTCTGTAGTTAATTGAGAAACCGGAGCGCTGGGCCTTGCACGAGCTCGTCCCGCTCGACAAGTGGACCGTAGGGAGGGTCACCCTCCTTGGCGACTCCGTGCGTACCTTCTTTTTCCTTCATTCCCTCTAGTTGATGATGTTGACCCTCTCTTCCTATAGGCCCATGCGGTCAGTTTTCCTGCCAATTAATGCAAAAAACAGATCTTACTGTAACGGTTAGAGTCTTCCCCACAACGGCGCTGGTGCGGGCCAAGCCACTGAAGATGCATACATCCTCGCATCTCTGCTCCGGCTGCCGGGATGTACGGCTGAGAATATCGACAAGTTTTTACTGGCGTACGAGAAATTCCGCCTGCCCCGTGCGGCGAAGCAGCAGGTGTGGGCTCTCCGCACAGGCGAGGTACGCTGTCACTTGCCTTCCGCTCCTTTAAAGTTAAGGAAGTAATGTGAAAAACGGCGCAGGTGTATGAGATGGAGTCCCCTCTTGGCAACGACTGGGATAAGATCGGGGAGAACTTGCGGGAGCGATACAGGTGGATCTGGGAGCATGACTTGGAGGCGGACTTGAAGGAGGCTGTGGAGTGGTTGAAAGCAGAGGGTGTGGTGCATTAGACTTTACCGGGTGATGTTCACAATGTCAATATGTAGCAGTTCGGCAAAGGTCAAACTACCTATACTTCACCGAAGCAGAGCAATAAAAGCGTTAACGTTTGCTCAAGGAAAAATCAGATTAGGTGCTCGTGGCTGAAGTTCACTTCTCGCGGTGTGGATTCATACAGGCACATGCATCCGAGTTTTCTGGAAACCTTGGCGTTCAGGGCGCGCTAGCAACTGCTAGCAATGAAGGGCGACGATGGGCGGCAGGGCATCTATCAGCAAACACGATGGCATAGCCGCGACCGGATTGGTTGGCGCAGATGTCGCCGGCACTCAGGCTGTCGGTGTCGACGTCGACGCCGACGTCCAACAACACCGCCAGTGTCGGTCGATCCCGCCCATAAAACATGAAACCGGCAACAGGTACCCACGAAATTCCAGGAACCGGCGGTAAGTGGACGGCGGTACCGGAGATGCCAGTGATGCAGGGGGAGGCCTGGAACGGGCGATGAGGGGAACGTAGTGGACGCCATATCCAGTTCTCCTTCTCAGGCCAGGGAAGGGCGTCAAAGCGTTTGCGTGAGTCCAGCTCATCATCTTTTCCTCTTTGGTACCAATACCTCGCAGGATAGTGACAGTGTCGATCGTTGACGGTGAGCGCTTTCAGAATCATATAGGGTCCTCGCTCACGTCGGGGGGAAAGGCGCAATCAGCATTCAGAACTTGACCAGGCGTTTCATCCTTGACTGCCCATCGAACTTGTGAGCAATCTCTCAGCATCAGACAGCGTTCAAATCTGATGTAAATACACGAGCAGGACAGCTGGTGCTTGAGCGTCCCGCGACGAGCCCCGTCCACTCTTTCCACACCACGTTCTTTTGTATCGCACGCCGGTAATGTTCACGCCTCCCCCTTCCCCCCTCCCGTTCGCCCAACGGCCCCCGTTGGAGAGTGCGCCCTCGTCATCCTCTTCGTTAACCGTCCCGTCCCCGTCCCCATCCCCGTCCCCATCACCTCCGCCGACTCCCTCGCGATCGTCTTCACACCAGCACATCCCCTCGTGCAGCACCCACCATGCCAAGCTGAAGACCGCGCGCCGCACACGCTGGACGATCCTCCTCGTCCCCGCCGTCCTGATCCTCATCACCGCTTCCACCCGCTACCTCTCGCACCCCGCCGCGCTCGACGTCTTCTCCGGATACAGGCCGTCAGACTATGACAGCTGGGCGGACTCGCTCACAGATTGGAAGTTTCACGAGCACCGCACAGGGCACCAGCGGCGCGAACCCGAGCCGCAACAGGGACAGCAGGTGTCGTCGTTCAGCGCGTCCACTGCCGCCTCCGTCCCGTCCGCCGCGCTCTCGGGGTCGCTGTCCGCCAGCGTGGTGAGCAGCGGCAGCACGCCGACAAGCACGACGGTCGTGGCGAACGTGCCGACTGTCCCCGCGCAGACACCGGTGCTGCCGACGCCGTTCCCGCAGCCGTTTGACAACCTCGAGCAGAACTTTTCGACGCAGGGGTGCCAGGCGTTCTTCCTGAACATGCTGCAGGCGGAGGACTTTCGGTCGTGCCGGCCGTTCTCGCTGCTTTTGCAGAATTCGTACGCTTTCAGCGAGGTGCGTTTGGTCAGGGCGAGGTACTTGACAGTTCTCATCGTATCATTTTCGAACAGGCACAGGAGAACGTCACCGCGATGAATGCGATCATATGGGGCACGTGCAACACCACCATCGACGAGGAAACCTGTGCGGCCAACATGGCCTCGTATCTCGGCCAGCTAAAGTCCAATTGCTCGAAGGAGATTTCCAACAACTTTCAGGCGGTCATTGACGCCGTGACAGGCTTGGAGGCGTACACCCTCATGCGGACCGCGGCGTGCCAGACCGATGCGACGGCAAATACGTACTGCTTCATCGACGCCATCCGGAACACGAACCCGTCGGACTTGTATTTCTACAACCTGCCCCTGGGATACAAGGTGTCGAACAGCAGCACGCCGACATGCGATGCATGCACGAAGACGCTGTTGGGTCTGTACGACCAGGCAAGGGGCAATCTGACGGCGCTGCAGCAGAATTATGAGAGTGCGGCACAGTTTGCGCAGAAGACCTGCGGGTCGGACTACGTGGCGCTGGTCAATGGCGCGAAGCAGTTCCGTGGGACGGCGAGGGGGTACACGGCAGGCGTCGCTCTTCTGAGCGTCGCCGTCGTGATGTCTCTTTTATGACCGTTGGGAGTACCAGTCAGGTGAGACGCTTTGAAGTGCCTGGCCTCGTCCGTCCTTCATCTTGTGCTGATCTCTTTACGCTACGTTTCAGATTGGGTTGATGCTTGAACATTTGCGGCTGTTTATACCTTCACCTTCGTGTTCATTCTCGGGTTGCTTGTTTGATCGGACTGAACATCGCTCTGTATTCTAAACATTCTTCTCGGGCTGGAATAACGACTGCCCAGCCGTTCTTCGGGCCATACGCTTTACACTTCTCCGTAATATTCCCTTCCTTCCCCCCGTGTCTACCGTATTTATTTGCCTCCGCTTTCCTCGCTGATTCAGAATTCTCCTTACGTCCGTCGCTGTTGTTAGGAATACGTAGTGACAGCCATGCTCATCGACTCGTACATGCTTTCCACGTTCAAGTTGTCTGAATCTTGAGTTTTCGGGTGCCTGCGCTTCGACCGAGGAGCTCCGATGTGGACTTTGGATTGAAATGTGATCGATCGGTCTCGCTTGCGACGTCGACCTTATCTCCCCGGTCTCTCGTTTGAATCTCTCCGCCGGCAATGGGAGACGTTGGGTTGATTACGTTCTTTGTCCACGAGCCCTAGAACAACGACCGCTGAAGACAATAATACTACAGGTGATAATTCTCGCATGCGAGCCAACGCATCTTCTCCTACAACGGAGGAGAAAGAACGAAAACATAGATTCAGACGACTTCAGATGCCGACGGACACTCGGGAGGAGCGCTTCCGCGCAGCATCTCGTTATCTCAAGAGTCATCTAGCCGAGAAGCAAAGGCGCTCCGAGTCCTGTCGCTTGTGACTTCTGCAGTTACCTCTTCAGTTCTTCCTATCTTCCTTATGTTCATATTTATGGAGTTAGAGACTCCGTGCCTTGGTGTTGCTCCCTCTTCAAGTTTCTGCACCCCGGTCCCTCGTAACCGCGCGACATGGCCGACGTTTCCTCTGTCAAGAATGGGAAGAGCGTCTTCGACTCGATGTATCCAGGCTCGGAACAGGAAGGGGTTCATGATGAGACGGAGCGCTTGGGGTACAAGCAGGAGTTCAGAAGACACTTCTCCCTGCTCGCGCTGACAGCCATGGGGTCAGTTTGACGGTTTATGTTCGCTAGAAACTACTGCTGATGGGCTCGTAGGTACATGACACTAACGTAGGCCCCAGTAGTTCTCGAGATGATCACCGAGCTCAATGATGCCTAAACAACAGCCCTCCATCTGCCATCTTCCTTACGCTTGTAGCGCCACTGAACAGTGGCGGTCCACAGGCACTGTTTTGGGGATGTACGTTCATCTCGCATGTTCGTCTCGTTTGGTGGTGTAACTGATGGCTGTCTAACCAGGGATCATTGTCTGCACATTCACGATATTCGTCGCGTTCTCGTTAGGAGAGCTGTGCTCCGCATTCCCTTCAGCAGGTGGTCCGTCGTATTGGATCTATCGTATATCATCTCCGCGATGGAGGAGACAGCTATCCTACCTGACCGGGTGGTTGAACCTTGGTATGGTGTTGTACATCTCGGGCGAAATCCGTGGCTAATATCACTGTTCTTTCCCTCTACAGCGGGCCAATGGGCCTTTGGGGCGTCGGCTGTCTTTCAGTCCGCCTTCACCTTCACAGCTGCGGCATCACTATACCACCCAGAATACGTTGCCGCGCCTTGGCACCTCGTCCTAATATGTTTCTTCTGGCTCGCCCTGTCAGTCTTCGCGAACATCTTCGCAAATCAATACCTTGCTAAACTTAACACTATTCTACGTGAGCTCGCGGTATTCCTCTCTGATCCAGTTCGCTCACACTGACGTCCGTCCGCTGCGCAGTGGCCTTTAATATCTTGGGAGTTCTCACTTGTATCATCACCCTATTAGCAACCGTGCAACCGAAGCAGACCGCGGAATTTGCGTTCACAGCTTGTCAGCGCTCATATACCCGCTGTGCGCTCGAAATACTCACGTCGCTATCCTCCAGATATCAACAATACCGGATGGTCATCCCATGCGCTCGTCTTCATCTTGGGTCTGTTACAGAGCGCCTTTACTATGATCGGATATGATTCTGTAACCCACGTAAGTGACTCCTTCCGGGCCATTTGCGACTCTGAACACTCTACGAATTGCTCATCCGCAGATGTCTGAAGAAATGGTCGAGCCAGCCAAAAACGTCCCAAAAGCACTAATCGTGACAGTCCTCACGGGCACTCTCTCCGGCCTCGTCGTCATCATCCCCCTCCTCTTCTGCCTGACGCGCATCGACGATATCCTCGCGTCCGAAATCGGCTCGCCCTTCCTCGCGCTCGCCTATCTGAGCACGCACTCGCGGCCGGGCGGCATCGTCCTCGCGCTGCTGCCCACCTCGTGCGCGCTGCTCGCGTCGAACTCGATGCTCATGGCGACGTCGCGCACCGTGTACGCGTTCGCGCGCGACGGCGCGTTCCCGTTCCCGCGCGTGTTCCGGCGCGTCGACCAGCGGCGGCTGGTGCCCACCAACGCGCTGATTGTCTCTGCGCTCATCGAGGTCGTGATGCTGGTGCTGTACATCGGCTCGTCGACGCTGTTCTACACGATCATCTCGCTGGCGACTATCGGCTTCGACCTGGCGTACCTGCTGCCGATCGTCGCGCTGATGGTCAAGGGGCGGGAGTTGGACGAATCGCGGCCGTTCAAGTGAGTTTGTGTGTGTGTGTTAAGGCGGCGCTGCGAAAGTTGACAGGAATGTCCCCGCAGGCTGGGCCGCTGGGGGTGGCCCACGAACGTCGCCGCGTCGGTCTTCCTCGCGTTCATCAGCGCGACGATGCTGATACCGACCCTCAGCCCCGTCACCGCCTCGGTAAAGCCTGCATCCTTCCCGTCTCCCGTGACCCGTGCACTCACGCTTTGCGTCCCCGCAGAATATGAACTACACGTCGTGCATCCTGGTGTTCATCCTGCTCGTCGCGGGCGTGTTCTGGGTGTGCCAGGGCCGGCGGACGTTCGAGGGCCCGGACCTGCACCTGGTGGAGCCGGAGAAGCTCGGGAGCGGGGAGTTCGCTACGGCTGGTGGCGCGAAGAAGAGGGAGGAGGGGGAGGGCGTGCGTGTTGTTGTCCGGGGAGCTTGATGTATGTATGTCCCATGATTCAACGCGAGGCGTGCCAGTGTGCAATCTCGCTTCCTTCGAGGGAGAACGGCGTCCCCGACTCGCGGCGGCTTTCGTGCATGTCTACTCGGGCGCGGAGCCGTACCGCACGCCGGTCTGGTCCGAGCGATTTTTCTCGCGCCGCTGTCGGGATGGTTGAATAACAGCGTGTCTGACCACAATTGCGGTGAAAAGATGTGGTGTGCTCTAGATTCAGGGACAGCCTCGATTGCGACGTGCGTCCTTCAGCTGATTTTTGGGTAGGTTTCCTTTCTTCCCGTACCTACAGGTTAGAGGAGAGGACGGAGAGGATGCTGGTCTGGAATCGTCCCGGATACAAAGTACTGCGGGATATTCTGACCTCGCTATATGACTGTTGACAGTGCAGTTCACAGAGACGTTCGAATGCGCCGGAGGGACAGTTTGGCAAGGCATAGACAGACGTTCCAAGCACTTTCTGTACGTGGTACGATGGTAAGCTGTCGCTGCCGCGATGTAATTCACTCGCAGAGGTGCTTTCGCCCGTAATAATGCAAAACCAGCCCTCGTATATCGTACAACATAATAAAGTTACATGCCTCCAATGCTACATGATACACTTGTACGCAACCACATCATATCCTACAGGCCCCCTAGAACGTAACCAAAAGTCAATGCACCACCCCCCTCTGATGGTCCTTCCCCCGCCTCATCCCCACATCATGCATATCGCTCGCCTTCGTATACGGCCTTCCATCCCCCCTGTCCCTCTGCGGCGCGGGCTCCGCGATCTGGTGCGCGCGCCGAGGATTGAGCTGGAGGCGCTCCCCGTTCTCGTCGAACGCCGGGGCCGGGGTGCGCTCTTTAGGGATGACCGAGTGCCCGCCGTTGTGCTCCTGCGCGGGCGCGGCGAGCGGGGCGGCGCGCGGCTCGATGCGCGAGGCTTTGAGCGTCATGGTGCCGGCGTGCAGGGGGGCGTCGGGGATGTAGGCGGCTTGGCGGAGGCGGAATTGCCCTGGATTAAAATGGCGGTTAGTGGGTGGGGGAGGAGAGGGGAGGGGGAGACGTACAGGTGGGCCAGGCGCCGGGGTAGACGGGGTCGTTGCGCTCCTTGTTCATGTGCCGCCGGTGGAGGTTGAGGTAGAAGAGCCCGAGGCCGGCGGAGACGATGGCGATGCCGCCTGCGAGGACCTGTGCGCGGGTTATGAATTAGCATGGCGACGACTGAAGGAAAAGACAGACGCACCCTGCCTTGCTTGGGCGGCGCGCCGCGGGTGTTGACGGGGATGTAGTGGCTCATAGCGTATACTGATGGCAGTGGGAGGAGGTCAAGTTTGCTGAGAGCCGTCGAGCCTGCGAGCGGTTTATATCGCCTGCTCGGCGGGTGGCTGACTTGTGGCTCCCGCGAGCCGTCGACGGGGGTGGCTGGCGCATCCTCGGAATGACGGCGTCCGCGCTGGGATCGCAGGCCAGGATCGCGATCGTGGCTGCATTCAGTAGGTGCCTTTCTATTCCGGGATGGCTAAACGTGATTGGCTGCGAGCGGGAAGGGAGTACACACTATCCTCGACGTTGGTAAGACAGGCGGTTTACATCGCGCGGGATTACACGCGTTGTATGGATGGGATACATACATCCTTCACAGGTGCGGTCGTGTGGCTAGCGCGATTCACATCCCGCCCTGCTGACCCCCACGTCTTCGGCCGACTACGTCTTCTCTCCCTTCGGCGGCTCCTTCTCCCGTTCCTGGCTCCTCAGCGTCGCCGGGTTCTCCGCGGGCCCCGTCGGCGGCGCCTGCGCCTGCTGGATACGATACTCCCCTGCGCGTCCCATCAGCACCGTACCACCCAGTCCGAAAATGGTGGCACTCACACGTAGGCACCTGCCCGCCCGTGGACGGGTCGCGCTGCTCCTTGCTCTCCTGGTGCGACGCGAGCGAGTAGTAGAACGCGAGGCCGCCCGCAGCGACGACTGCAATGCCGCCCCATAGCGTCTGTAATACGTACAGGAGGGAGTTACGGGGGACGGGAAGCAGGGGAGACGCTGCGCACCTTGCTGCCCCCGCCGCGCCCGCGGGGCCCAGGGGGCACGGACTGCGTGCCAGTGCTGCCTGTGCCGCTCATGATTTCGCTCCGAGGTGAGTATATGCGTGTGCGGTTAGAGGATTAGTGGCAGGGTCGTCGGTGGTAGCGTATGCTCGTGCACTCCATGATCACATAGCTGTGGTATATAATGTAGTAGGAGTAAGTGTGGTGACGTCAGGCGCCAAGTCAGGCTTCAATGTCGTCGAATGACGTCCGGCTCCAGCGCGCGCTTTGCCTGTGGCGCTACGTTTGCCACTGATGAGCTCCAGTAAATCGATCCATACCATTATACGAGAAACCAATCTACGAGTCGACCCATGTACTTTTCGTGCGCATACGCCCCGTCCCGAACCCCATCCCGCACACCCAACCCAACCCCTCCGCTCAGCCCTATGAATCCCGCTTCCCGCCCCTGCTCCTCGCAATCCCCTCCGCGAGCCCCGGCGACGTGTTCACACCAGACGAGTTCTCCCCCGTCGCCGCGCTCACCGCAGCCGCTTCTTGCTGCGCGATGCGCTGCTGCCCTGCACCACGCAAAGTGTGAGCGTGCGTTCTCGATACACCTTCGCGACAACGAAAACAACGGGACGCAAGGGAAGGGGGTAGGGAGGAGACACGCACAGTCCAGCTTCTCCACCGGCCGGTCCCCGCTCACCGCCTGCGCCCGTCTCCTTGCGTCGATCCCCTTCTTCGCGTAGTAGAAGCTAGCGCCCGCGCCGAGCACCAGCACGCCCCAGCCCAGCGCCTGCCCATCGCACCGTCAGCACGACTAGGGACGGGAAGGGGAGGGGGCTTACCATACTTTGCGGGGTGTTCATGTTCGATGTCGATGGTAGGGGAGAGTGAGTTCGGGGGACGAGTGCCCGGAGGTGCCCGAGAGCACGTGACTGGACGCGGTAGTTACTGGGCACTCGAGTAGCTCGTCTCTAATAATGGCAAGTGTAGCGGCGACAGTGGATGACTCTCCGTAAGCATTTAGAGTCGTTTTCTATCCTAGATTCGACTCTAAATGCATCAGCCGAGATGCCGGCTTGTCACGCTCGCCAATTTTGATGGTGGTCGTCGAGTTGACGCAAACTTTATTTTGTCAAGGGGGTCCGACCCCCCTCTTCTAGGCTCGATACCAGCCACTTCGCAATTCAAGCTCCGCTCGTAATACTCGCTACACCGCGAAGCGGCTGGGAACTACGGTCGCCCTTTTGGCGGGATGCGCGTGACACGCGCCAACTATGAGTGGGACTTCGTGATTTGAGAGCCTCATAACTCAGAAAAATCATGCCTTGGGAGATTTACACCATTGTAGGTTTTGAAGGCCATAGATTCATTTGACATAGGTCAAATTTTGATGAATTTGGACTGACTCAAGGAGAAAATTCTCTTTTCTCACCTATTCCAGTCAACTCCATTCACTTCAAAAACATCATTGAACAATGTGTGCCAGAGACGATTTTGTACGTCTGAGGGGGCAAATTTTTCTAAGTCGGAGTCACGCTTGGCGGGGAAAGTTGTGACCCCGCTATGTGACTGTCCGTTGTCACCAGTCCGTTCGCAAGCTCACGCCTTCCATCACTCCGAAACCAAAAAAGGAAGGCGTGTGCATTGCGTACAGGACTGGTCGCGAGTCTACCCCTCTTCAGACAGGACCCCTGATTATCAGTATCGAGGCTTTGTGGAAACGCGGACAAAAGTTGGCCATCTGAGACCCCTCAGGCCTGATTTTTCGCAGACAAAGCGACCGATTTTGGGAGCCCAGCGGCCAACAGTTGGACTTACTTCGCCCTCCGATCAACACAACCAAACAACACCTAATGCGGTAGGTAAGTCAGGTGACCTCCCGCGCCGCCGGCGCCGCCTGAGGGCTTTCCCGCGTATAGCAGTCCTAAGTAAATAGTGACTACAAATGAGCTCTAGGGAGGAGAAATAAACTATTTAAAAAATTACTGCTCTACATCTAAGAGAAATGAGCGTGCTCTGATGGACTTTCGACAATGGAAGACAGAAAAAGATATATAAATGTAAAATGCCCCGCCGGGCCTTGAACTCTCGTCCACAACACAAATCACTAACACTTTAACCATTAGACTACGAAGGAATAAAGACTCGGCAGTATTTAGTAATTATGTATTGTACAGCAAGGCAAATTTACATTAGTGTAAAGGGTGCTTCTCAATTTGGTAGTCGACGCCGGAGGCCCGGATCACGTGATTTACCTGCCTGATATGGGCGTGTTTGGTCGTGTTTATCGGAGGGCGAAGTAGCAAAAGCGGCGGCCAACCCTTATTTTTCCCGCGGACATCACCTGCCCATTTTGGGCAGGATTTCTCGGCATACGCCGAGCGCGGGAAGATTTGAGCGTTACCCACGCCACAATTCCCAAATATGGAAGGCAAATCGAGCTGGCACCTGATTTTTCGCGGACAAAAGGGCGTAGAATCGGGAAATTTGGCGCGGACAAAGACGCTGAATTTTGGGCATCTAAAATAAAGCCTCGATACTGATTATCAGGGGTCCTCTTCAGACTCGCGCTCGCCTCTAAAGGCTCGCTTAGCCTCGGTAAACGTTCGCGTATCATGCCATCATATACTTGCCATCAGTACCTTCCGTGTTTAGCCACTTTCCTTCCTTACATAGTAAGCCGCCATCAATAGCGTGACTGAGGGCTTGTGGCGTTACGGATTCAGTGCGTCTTTGCTATTGCGCCCCCGCGTAAACATGACCAAATATTACCTTTTCGAGAAAAATATCATGTGACCTCCGACCCCTCCGGCCGCGTCACTAAAAATAACTGGACCCAGCCGTATTAAGTAAGCGCCATTTACATTGCCATCATATATTTTTAACGTGTAAGACATGCATTGCTTCTTTAGTGTAGTGGTTATGCGGCATGCATTTAGCACAGGACGTCTAAAGTTCAATTCCTACTGTGCACATTTTTGGATTTGTGCTTTTAGGGTTAGGGTTTATTACCTTTCCTTACTGTTGGCTTTTATATCTACCTTGTCAGCCACATGTATCACAGCTATATAGATTTCAATGAAAATTTATTTTGCTCCATCTATATGACCCTCTTAGTCCAGACTTGAAGATACTCTAAGTGGCCGGACACGCGCGCGGCGGCGGGAAGCCCGCGTTTGCCGGCATCACGTGATATTCTTCTGGATATGGTATATTTGTACGTGTTTGCACGGGGGCGCAGTAAAGCTACCTGATACAGTGCCTTGCATAAGAAACTGAACATCGCATTTCCGCGCGCGTTGTTTGTCCGCGCCAAATATACCCTTTTCGGGTATCGGCAAATGTGCGGCAAAGACCCATCGAGAGGGAGGGTAGCTAGGCATACAGGTGGGGGCAGAGTATAACGATTTACAGCCCTTAGTGTAGTTGTAGAATATACATTTCATGCATTCTCTGAAGCCTTTCGAGCCGTCTCGTGTCGTCTGCGAGTCCCTG